CTTTAAAGATCTAAAATAGTTAGCAAATATCACAATAGCCCCCAAAACAACTTCATTATATATAAACATTCCATGGGCTGTGTTTGAGGTTTGTGTGTGCAACTGCAAACACAATATCATTGCCCAAATATCATTGACTGGAAAGCAGTGTAAAGCAGGATTTAGGGTTTTAGTGTTGAGGACATTGACTATAAATTTTATTGGAATTGCACTTCCTTTAGGACAATATACACCAATAAACTCAACTCTGCCAATGTCTTAATGGGAAATGCATTAAGAAGAACAATTGATTTACATATTTTTATTTTTACAACTTTTGTAGACTGCAGTGTTAACTCTCAAGGTAAGGCACTAGTCGAAAATAATCAAGTAGTGAATGTACTTAGAAGAGCTGGTGCAGATATTCTTCCAATAATTTTGACTCAGCATATTATTTAATGATTTTTTTTTATCCAGATGTTGGAATATTTGGTTTATTATACAGTGTAAAAGGTTTCTTTCCAAAATCTCCATCTAATACTGCTGAAGTTTTAACAAAAATTCCCTTTTATTGCAACCCACTAAATACAAGGCTTATAAGTGGGTATAAAGATATGCTATTAGCAACACTAAAAGTTGGAGAAGAATTAATTGATTATATAAAACGTTTTACAATAATAATGCAATATGATTGTAATATTATATCATATAATAGTGTTAATGCTTTTTGGAGTACAAAAAAGTATGGGAAAATTTTTGATTGTAAATTGAAATTGCAAGAAGATGGGAATCTTGTTTTATATGGTGCTTTCGATATAATTAATTATTGGTCAAGTAAAAGTTACTGTAGAAAATATAATTGTGCTGTACTATCAGAATTTCATGTTCAGAAAGATTGTAATTTAGTCATTTATAGAGATGGAAATCCAAATATACTAACATGGTCAAATGGTAAAGTTTGTTAACCATAATAGTATAATATAAGTACTATTAAACAAATTTAATATTATAAATATATTCTAGACTGATTCATATATGTTCAAACTTTCAACCTTTGATACAAGAATAAGAAACAGTGTATATTGTTGACAATATTCACATGGAATCTTGACTTATTATTATATATTTATCAGCATAGATAATTTAAATATTAAACAATAATTTGCTGTGCATTGTATGTAGCAACATTTGGTTTTCTTAATAGTAGTGTTATTTTTATTAATTTAATTGATCAAATGCAAGTTTAAAGCTACAAACATGTATATAATTTATATACTCAGGATTAATCTTATTGCATATCAACCATTAAATGGTAGAATAAACTAAAATATACTAATTTAGGAAAGCTTATAAATTATAAATACAAGTTTAATCTAAATAAATAACAACTGTTAAATGGTAGATCCCATCAGCCTAATTAAACTTATAAGCACTATTCTTTCTGGATCTTGGGGTGCACTGGGAGTTGTGTGACCTCCACTGGGCTGAATTTCCTCTTGTTCCTTTGCAATGGTCACTCCATTCCCTTCGTCACTCTTTCCTCATCATTCCTTTACACTTTTCATACATTTTTCTACTTCAACGACCCCAACTCCTCCATCAGCCTATTCTTCCTTTACCACAATATCGCGAGAGAAAATGCGAGGGCCGAAAATGAGATAGCCGATCACGAACTTGGAGTTCTTGCGAGGTTCTTTGTGAGTTCCACGATCTTTGGAAGAACTGGTCTCTTTTTTTCTTGGGTTTCTTCCTGACAGCATGGATTCGCCTCCAGTGGCAGCGGGTGGCAGCAAAAGGTAGGAGCAAAGATTTTGGTTCAATCAATCAATGTGGAGTTTTTACCCCTCCTTTTATTGGATTTTTACCAACAATTAAGAACCCCCTTTTTAGGGTTCTTGAGTATTCACAGGACTATCGCGTGGCGCATAGAAGATCCTCGCTCCACTCCTCGCTCCCGACGCAGTGGTAGCATCGGAAAATCCCCGCCGGATCGACTCTCTTCTTGATCGCCAGCAGCCTCGTGTAATGTTCTCCAAACAGGGATTCTTGCCACTGGGGCTCATTGAAATCCGCCTCGTTCCCATACGCCCCCGATCCGGGCGTGAGATCGATGAGCATCGCATTCGCGGCGCTCAGCTCCGCCCTGGCGCGCTGCTCGGCTCGATCGTCTCCGTCGCTCCAGCTGCTACCGAGGATCACATGCCACAGCGCGCGGCGCCACGCGGGATTCACAGCATTGTCTCGATCGTCGCGGCTCACGGCGCCGCCCCCGACGAACACGCCAGTGAGGGAGACGCGCGGGAAGAGCTCCCGGATGCGCACCATCACCTCGGCTAGATTCCCCGGCGAATATGCGACCGTTGTCCTTGGAATGAGCCGCGACGCCAGGAGCAGTGGAATCCCCGCGGTGGCGATGCCGGTGTTGGCGGTGTCCACATCGCGGCAGCTCGATCGCCCCTGGCATTGGATCGCCAATCGAAACTCCTGGAACGAGGGGAAGGATTGGAGGCTCCCGCTGGATCGGAGCTGGGGATCCTCGCGCGCGAGCTCTTCCAGCGGTGCCGCGAGCGTGGCGTTGGCGAGCTCCATGCCGCGGTTTGGGAGGAGATACGAGAGCGTGAGCCCGGTGGTGTTGGTGATCGCGAAGGTCCCCGCCCAGCCGGCGCGCTCGAGCGAGGGGTGGAGCTCGGTGAATCGAGCGAGTGTTCGCTGGAAGCTGGGCTTGTCCGGGGTTGAGAGGTTGTACTGCGCGAAGACGAGGCTGTCCAGCGCCGGGTAGAGCCTGTGCGTGGCGGTGACCGCGATGCCAAACGTTCCACCGCCGCCGCCGCGCATCGCCCAGTAGAGATCCTGGTTCTGGCAGCGATTGGCAACGACGAGGCTTCCATCCGCGGTCACCACCGAGAACTCCAGGACGTTGTCCGCGGTCAGGCCGAAAGTTGGCGAGAGTGGGCTGTGGCCTCCGCCCTGAGGATGGCCTCCGGCAGCTCCCACCGAGCTCGATCCACCGCCGACGATCACGAACTTGCGATCAAACACCGCCTGGTAGAGCTCTTCCCACTGGACTCCCGCTCCGACCGTCACTGCCGGGAGGTACGTTGCGTCTTTCGATCGGCGAGAGCATCCTCTCGGGAGGAAGCGGTGGTGGAATCTCATGCTTTTCATTTGGTGTGTCCAGATGCTCAGCGCTCCCGCGGCGGTGCTCCGGCCGAGGTAGTCGTGACCGGTGTTCTTTACGACGAGGCGGAGGTTCCTGGCGGCCGCGAATCCCACCGCTGCTTGGATGTGGGAGGCTTTTCTCGCTGCTACTGCGTAGATTGGCACCGAGCCTTGCGAGCACGATGAGTTTCGAGGGGAGTCTATCAAGCAGCGATCGGTGATCCCGTTTGATTCCCAGTTGCTGGCTTGCATGGCTCCCGGCTGGTCCGCCCTCCAGAACGGGAAGCTCCATCGCTGGCGTGCCTCTCGGCAGGCTCGCCGATTGAAAGCTGGATCGTGGCAAGGAGAGGCCGGAGGAACCACGCGGATGAGCTTTCCATCGATGGAGGCGTTGAAGGTGGCCCAGGATTGAGAGTCGGGCCAGCAGTGGCGATCGAAGGCTGTGCATTGGCATGGAGGCCGGAAGGATTGAGCCAGATGGAATGCGACGATCACGATGAGGAGCAGAGGTACCGTGGCTGTTTTCATGGCTGTGTGATGTCAACGTACAACCTTTTTCTTCTTTCCTGACATGGACTCGTAAAGAAATTGTAGCTATCGGAACGATAGAGCTCTTGTCAAACGCTTCGAATGATCAAAGGATGGAGCGAATGATGTGAGCACGAATTGATTGCTCCTTTTTTTATATACCGTGGCTTTCCGCGGGGACTTGTTCTTGTGTTCATCCAGGAAAATCTTACTCTGAGCGGCCGCCAAAAACAAAAGAACCGCACTTTGGGCTTTGACACTGGAAAACTTCTAAGGTCTGACTCTTGCTATGTGAGTGCTCTTTTTTGCGCGTTGATCAGACATTGTCAAACCTTGCCAGTTATACGTCTAGAAAATCGAAGACTGTGTTTTTTACTTGTTCAGAAATTCTAGATGTGATCTTATAGACAAATTAATTCTCTTATTCTCGTTTCGCTACAAGGTCCCTGTCAAAAGAGACAGGCACAGATGTGGATTCCCTCTCCAACTTTGGATTGCAGATGGCCTTGCAACTGCCATGGACTTAAACTCATGCCATTTGTTTGCAGCTTGTATACTATGCTCTTGCTTCTAGCACGATAAGAAGTCTATGTAAATATTTTACATGTTTTTAATTAAAACACTCATTTTATAATGTTTATAGTTAAGCTTGATTATATCTTGTTTCATTTTGAGTTGCTCTCCCAGAAAAAAAAAAACATTCTCACCATGCCAATTATACTTTCAAGGGATGTTAAAAATTCTTTTGCAACTGATCTGGTTTCATCTCCAATCTTGGTGGGGAACAAAATTTTATGGCAAATTGTGTTACAAAATACAATAGTTCATTGATGTTTTATCAAGGGTTCTTTGTAACTATTGCCATTAACATAATTCTTTCTATTTAAGTAAAATGTTTCATTCTTGAAATTTATAATATATATATATATATATATATATATATATATACTTTTGCAATTAAAAAATTATTATTAATTGATTCCTTGTATTGTGTTATTTATAAAATATAATTTGGCTTTAGAAGATCCTACATAAAATTAATAAACATTATGAAAAGACTAATACGTATCTAAAACTAATAAACATTATGAAGAGACTAATACGTATCTAAAAAGTGTTGGATAAGATTTGTGTCTCTTATGATCTACATCAGATATATCATCGAATTCATTCCAATTAGCATACATATAATGACATTCTTATGCAAGCCAACACCAACACAACAAGACTGGTCGGATGGTAGAAGTGACTAAAGATCAAAACTTCAGAGGTTGAGTTGGAGGATATTAGTATAAGGATCCATCACCCTGGAATATTAAAGAACTTCTGTTTTACTATTGCATTCCAAGAAACAGGTATTGGAACCGAAAATCCAAATGCCACAATTGAAACATTCCTGAAGCTCAAGAACTTCCCTGATAACAGCCGGAGGTAAATCCTGCACATGAGTGTAGAGCACGGAATCAGGACTTTATCATGCCGAGTCCAACTGATGCTCGGATGTAGTTGTGGAGCGGAGAATTCAGCTGCTGAACTTCTGTGGTGTACACCTTGACCTGCAAACAGTCAAAGCGTTTGTAAATCTGGAATGCAAAAGCATACAACTGAGAGCAAACGCTGTCATGGATGCAAAGCTCGTTTGTTCCAATGTAAGTTCGATTTCGTGTAGTGCAAGTAGACAATTCAGTCTCGAGAACAAGTGGTTTGTTTCTTACGATTTTGAGCACGATGTGCAGGAGCTTTATGCTTGAACTGAATAGCAAGCGCTGTAAAAGCCTGTCCACCGATCACGAACGAGGCCTGTAAGAAGAACGTAAATCCACCATCTACCTTTTGCAGGACTTGCGCTAGAGAGCTAAGTTTTCTTCGTGTGCCATGGACAACAATCTGTCAGACAAGTTACAAGGAAAAGCAAGGAAAGAAACGAGAAAAGACGTACTTGTGGTTTCGAAGAGCTCGAGGCTGTTCCTATCCACCTGATCTCCAATGCCGACCAATATCCACCCAGGATTGTCCTGTAAGGATCAAACAAGCTCTCGGATCCCGCTATATCGCCTTGTTCGGCAACTCAGCCAGTGGCCTTTTACCAAAAGAAAAACCTCACCTTCGTCACATATTGGCATCGTGAAAATCAGACTCATAAAGCTCGATTTTGATCTCTTCAGATTGAGCCAGAAGGCTTTCTCGGCCTGGCAGCAACAGGGATTTTCACCACAAACTAGAGAGGGGAAAAAAATTATCTGAGGAGCCCTGAGCCCTAAGTGGCTCGGCTAGTATTTATTTCAGTTTTAGAGCGTTGCTAAAGTTTCTAGCTTGAGCCTGCCGAGACGCACGCCAGCGATGGAGCTTCCCATTCTGGAGGGGAGCCATGCAAGCTAGCAACTGGCAAATGGGATCAACCGATCGCTGCTCGATAGACTCCCCTCGAAACTCATCGTGCTCGCAAGGCTCGGCGTCAATCCACGGTGGGATTCGCGGCCGCCAGGAACCTGCGCCTACCTCGGGCGGAGCACCGCCGCGGGAGCGCTGAGCATCCGGACACACCAAATGAAAAGCATGAGATTTCACCACCGCTTCCTCCCGAGTGGATGCTCTCATCGATCCAAAGGAGCAACGTACCTCCCGGCAGTGACGGTCGGTGCTGGAGTCAAGTGGGAAGAGCTCTACCAGGCGGTGTTTGATCGCAAGTTCGTGCTCGTCGGCGGTGGATCGAGCTCCGTGGGAGCTGCCGGAGGCCATCCCCAGGGCGGAGGGCGCAGCCCACTCTCGCCAACTTTCGGCCTGGCCGCGGACAACGTCCTGGAGTTCTCGGTGGTGACCTCGGATGGAAGCCTCGCCGTTGCCAATCGCTGCCAGAACCAGCATCTCTACTGGGCGATGCGCGGCGGCGGCGGCGGCGGCGGAACGTTTGGCATCGCGGCCACGCACTGGCTCTACCCGGCGCTGGACAGCCTCGTCTTCGCGCAGTACAACCTCTCAACCCCGGACAAGCCCAGCTTCCAGCGAACGCTCGCTCAATTCACCGAGCTCCACCCCTCGCTCGAGCGCGCCGGCTGGGCGGGGACCTTCTTGATCACCAACACCACCGAGCTCACGCTCTCGTATCTCCTCCCAAACAGCGGGATGGAGCTCGCCAGCGCCACGCTCGGGGCACCGTTGGAAGAGCTCGCGCGGGAGGATCCTCAGCTTCGATCCAGCGGGAGCCTCCAATCCTTCCCCTCGTTCCAGGAGTTTCGATTGGCGATCCAATGCCAGGGGCGATCGAGCTGCCGCGATGTGGACACCGCCACCACCGCGGGGATTCCACTGGCGTCGCGGCGCATTCCCAGGACAACGGTCGCATATTCGCCGGGGAATCTAGCGGAGGCGATGGTGCGCATCCGGGAGCTCTTCCCGCGCGTGTCCCTCACTGGCGTGTTCGTCGGGGGCGGCGCCGTGAGCCGCGACGGTCGAGACAATGCTGTGAATCCCGCGTGGCGCCGCGTACTGTGGCATGTGATGTGATCCTCGGCAGCAGCTGGAGTGACGGAGACGATCGAGCGAGGGCGGAGCTGAGCGCCGCGAATGCGATTCTGGTCGACCTCACGCCTGGATCGGGGGCGTATGGGAACGAGGCGGATTTCGATGAGGCCCAGTGGCCTGTTTGTGTAGAAATATGTATGAAAGGTGTAGGGGAACGAAAGAGTGACGAAGGGAATGGGATGACCATTGCAAAGGAACAAGAGGAAATTCAGGCCAGTGGTGGTGAGTGGAAAGCTCAGTGCACCCCTAAGCACGCAAAGATCCAAAAAGTATAGTGCCTGAATTCCTCTCGATATAAGAAAGGGAAACAAAGAAAATGGGATGGGCCATCTAAGTGGTTGCCATTCTGGTGAATCTGACAAATGTGCTTAAACAAGAAAACTCCATCACTAAGTTCATGGTGCCCTAATCAAAATAAGTTAAACATAAATATAAACAAGATTTTTATATTTATAAGTTTTATGTATAAAAAATTATTATTAATTAAATTTAATGTTTTTTTGTGTGCTTAAGAAATATATTTGGATATTTTAGGATCTACCATCTAACAGCTGTTATTTATTTAGATTAAACTTGTATTTATAATTTATAAATTTTCCTAAATACTTTCTAGTAGACTAATCTTGTATTTATAAATTATATACATATTTATAACTATAAACTTGTTAATCAATTAGATTAATAAATATGAATAACACTACTATTAAACAAACCAAATGTTGCTACATGCAATGAACAGTAAATTATTGTAATATATAAATTATCTATACTGATAAACTTAAAACAATAACTTTACATGTCAAGAGTCCATGTGAATATTGTCAACAATATAAAACTTTGGGGAAAAACTTGGGATGCTTCTTGGAGGTTTGAAAACTTTGGAGGCTGTGATCCAAATTTGAGTCTCTATTGCTTAATATCATTATATAATAATTATATTATACTATATTATAATTATGGTTAACAAACTTTACCATTTGACCATGTTAGTATATTTTTCTTTCCATATCTATAAATGACTAAATTACAATCTTTTTGAACATGAAATTCTGATAGTACAGCACAATTATATTTTCTACAGTAACTTTTACTTGACCAATAATTAGTTATATCAAAAGCACCATATAAAACAAGATTACCATCTTCTTGCAATCTCAATTTACAATAAAAACTTTTCCCATACGTTTTTGTACTCCAAAAAGCATTAACACTAATATAAAATACAATATTACAATCATATTGCATTATTATTGTAAAACGTTTTATATAATCAATTAATTCTTCTCCAACTTTTAATGTTGCTAATGGCATATCTTTATACCCACTTATAAGCCTTGTATTTAGTGGGTTGCAATAAAAGGGAATTTTTGTTAAGACTTCAGCAGTACTAGATGGAGATTTTGGAAAGAAACCTCTTACACTGTATAATAAACCAAATATTCCAACCTCTGGATCAAAAACAATCATTAAGAAATGGGCTGGGCTATTTGTCAAAATTATTGGAAGAATATCTGCACCAGCTCTTCTAAGTACATTCACTACTTGATTATTTTTGACTAGTGCCTTACCTTGAGAATTAACACCACAGTCTACAAAAGTTGTAAAAATAAAAATCCGTAAATCCATTGTTCTTCTTAATGTATTTCCCATTAAATAAGACATTGGCAGAGTTGAGTTTATTGGTGTATATTGTCCTGAAGGAAGTGCAATTCCAATAAAATTTATAAGAGCACTTACAACCATAAGAGGATTTATATCTAAAAAGGTTAAGCGCTTTGGTATGCAAAAGACTGTTTTTTCTCTATGCTTCAGACTTGTCTAAACATATGCCACTGTCATTTTGAAACTGTTTCTAGAAACTATCATAAAAGTTAAACTATAGTGTATATTAAAATTATAAAATAGTTTATCATATTTACTAGATTCTTAACTTAGCAAAACATCTTGTTTAGCCTATCGCGTTGGATATAAAATTTCGTTGCTAAATATATTCGAGTTTCCAAATCTTATTTATAATCTGAAAAGTGGACATATATCTATTAACTTATTAAACAGAAACAGTATATAACTACTATTAAGTATATGACAAGAAAAATTAAACACGAGTTTACTGACGATAGAGAACCAGTGAATCTGAAAGAAGTACTCCTCTCAAATGTTTTAGCACGGGTGATGGAATTCTCAGAGGTCTGAAGCTCAATCACTGTTTGCTATTAAAGTGAAACCTGAAATATTTTGATCATGTGGATGCCCAGAAGCAATTATAACTAGGCTGATAGGTAGAACCGCACCAGATGAAGAGCGTGAGATTCCACCACCGCTTCCTCCCTCCCGAGAGGATTCTCTCGTCGATCGAAGACGCAACGTACCTGGAGATGGAGTCCAGTGGGTCTACCAGGATCGAGCGTCACGCATGGATCCGGGGCGTACGGGAACGAGGCGGATTTCGGTGAGCCAATTCCTGTTTGGAGAACATTACCCGCGGCTGCTGGGGATCAAGAGGAGGGATTTTAAGATATCCAAATACTCAAGAGCCCTAAAAAATGGAAGGAAGAAACTATCCACAGACATCAGAGGCAGCAAATGCTGGTAAAATCGAAAAGGTGACAAACTCTCCACATTCGCACTCACCATCCCTCGCAGCAGCAAATGCCCAGAGAGGGCATTGCAGGGAATCTCTTGATCATACTTTAGCGATCGGGCGGCGGCGAGGATGGAAGAGGAGGCGGCGGCGAAGATGGTAGCGGAGGAGGAAACGCATCCTCCATTTCCACATCCTCATCAAACGGGGCAATCAATTCTTCACGAAAACTAGAAGAACACAAGAGAAAGAATAAAGAACTTGAGCCAAAATCTTTGCTCCTACCTGTTGCTGCCAGCCGCTGCCACTGGAGCCGAATCCATGCTGTCAGGACAAAACCCCAAAAGAAAAGAGAAAACAAAATCAGTTCTTCCAAAGATCGTGGAACCTCGCAAGAACTCCAAGTTACCTCTGATCATGATCGGCTATCTTCTTGCGCGGTGGAGTGATACCCTCCTGCTTGATCTTCAAATACTTGTCTCTCAGCGACGCCACCATCGCTCGTCCCCTCTCGACCTCACTGCGGAGCAATCGAATGTCTTCTCTCTGCCTGGCGATGATCACACGATCTCTACTCTCCTCCTGGATCATCGTCTGGACGCTGGCATCACACTGCTGCTTGCGCTGGATGCTCGAGTGGACGTCCTCGGCGATCACCATCTTGTCCGTGAGGACGCCCGCGTGCTCCTTCTCCTTCTCCGCGCGATCTTGCTGCCCAAGCTTGTGATTCTCTTCCACGCGACCTTGATCTTGCTGCCCGAGCTTGTTCTTGATGATCCCAGTGAGCCACTCGCCGTGAGCAAACGTGCTCTTCCTCCTGGAGCTCGTCTTTGCGCCACGGGCGATCATCTTTCCCAGGTACTCCGCCCATCGCATCTTGATACCGAGCTTGTACGATCGATCCAGCGCGAGGAGGACCTCCACCGGCACGCAATGGAAGCACTCGCGGCGGGCGACGAGCTTCACCATAAGCATCATGCAAATCGCCTTCCACGCCTCCACATTCTCCCCAAGAACAAGGGCATCCACAGAGTAGCCGCGAGAGCTGTACTCCTTGAGATCGAGCACGATCGCGCCCAAGGCCGATCTCTCCTCCTTGGTCAGCACTGCCGAGGTCGAGATCTCGCCGCCATCGTCGCCGATCGGGAGCCTGGTGGCCGCAGAGACGCTGGCGGCATCGATCACCACGCGCTCACCTCTGACCATGGCGCTGGAGTTCCAAGGATCGAAATTTTTGAGGAACTCGTCGCAGAGGGAGCGATCGAGGGGCGGGAGGGGCTGCGCCGCGAACTCGTCCAGGCCCAGGGTGGCCAGGATCCGTCGCGCGCTGGGCTCCGCGAGGATGGGATCAAGATCCACGTCCCAGACCTTGCGGTAAATGAAGCCAGTAGGCATGGCGAACTTGGCCCCGTACCTCTTCCTCCTCTTCTTGATCATCTTCTCTCCCTGCTGCTGATGCTGCTGGGCGATCATCGCGCGCTGGCCTCGGATCGCCTTGCCTCGCCGATGGAATGTCCGGAGGGTCCGGAGCTTCTGTGGATGGATTGGGCGATTCTCTGGAGCTACGATCCTCCAACACCGGGGCACATTCCTCGCGAGAAAAAGCTTCGCTCTCGAGCTCGCGCTGCTGCGTCGATCGATTCGAAAGCGCGGATCACTGCCAGGCCATCGCATTTTCTCTCTCGCAGTTCACTAGCTAAGCATGTCCTTGTGTAGTACTAAAGGATAAGGTAATTAACTAATTCACGCTAACCGTACCACGCGTCCGTACGTCAAAAACTGCTAGACGAATATTCGACTATGATAATTGAGGATGAGAGTGAGAGTAGCCACCACTGCCACCATCGCCATCGTGAGAGTGAGAGAGAGAGTCTATCGTGAGAATGCCGAGTGTGAGCGTAGTGACCGCCATATGGTCGTGCGACTAGCGTCGTGAGAGCAGTGCCCGTGCCGCCGTGACGATCTTCCATGAGAGGAATAGCCTCCTGTCTATCCACCGTAAGGATTATAGCCATGATCCAACACTCTGGTGTTCCTTACTTCTCCTGGGCCCAAGTAGGCGAGCCAACCGAGTCCGAGCAGCTCACAGCCTACGTGGAAGATTTCTTCTGGTTGGGCTTGATGGGCTTGATATCCGTGGGGATTCGCGATCGCTGGGTGGAAAGCGAGGCAAAGCTACCCCGTGGCAAGCCAACCTCGATCGCATTCTCAACGGCCAGCCCCAGAGTGCTATCCGGATAGAAAAACGGGCTTCCAACGTCCAGGCCACGGGAGAGATTGTCTGTCGCATTCCCGAGTTTTTTAAGTTCAAGTTCTCTCGGACCCCAGAGTGGAGACGCCCTGTTATTCTTCCTCGTCCACGCAGATGCCAATCTTGGGCAAGAGGGAGACCCACACCAATTGCCCCCCTCCTTTGCCAGCTTCCCGTTCGAGTATGCCGACTTGTGTTGCGTACAGCTTGAACCTTATTGAACTGAGCTCTACTTCCTGTGCTTGAGCATCTAGGCAGGGACCAGGTGCCTAGCGGGTATGTCGTTTCTGTTTCTTCGTATGCCAACTTTTCTTTATCATTGTTCTTAGAATCTGTTGCTCTTCAAAAAACACCAGAGGGTGATGGTGAGGGATGCGTAAACAGCATCCATAATTGAGTGGATTACAAGAGAAATTATGGAACTGCTAAATTACACCGACAGTGGTGGTATTCAACAGCTTGTTTCTGCTCGCTCTCCATGGCCCGATTTCTCTGCAACGTGCATGCAGCACTCACAGCGTATCTCCTTCAATGCCTTGAGGACCGACTACGCTTCTGCGTTCCCATATCAGTGAGCGCACAAGACTTCACAAAGCCACAGTCCCATGCTACCATGGTGACCTTTTCTTCTTTCTTTCTTTTCTTAAAGGGGGTCACTGGAAATCCCGGTACGGTTTAAGGTTAAATCTGAGGACGAGTGCACGAAGCTTGCTCTGGCTGCTCTTCACAAATTTGGGCCTTGTTCAGCGTGATGTGAGGCTGGACAACATGATCTGGTCTACTGACAGGGTGTGCCGCTTATTCACTTAGAACTTGTTGCCAGGTCGTTGTTAGTGCTGCTCGATCCATTGTCAACCTCCTATCATTGCTAACCGTGGTCAGCTGCTGGAGAAACTTCAATGCCGCGTCTCCACCACTGTCTAGCCAGTCCCCGCTACTGAAGAGCCCCTGGACTTTGGCAAAAGCTTCCATTGGCAAGCCACCATTGTCTTCTATCAGCGACGGCACAGGTGCCACAGGGGACGAAAATCCATCAGTCTCGCCAAAAAGCACCTAAGAAAGAAAAGATCAATTTTGCCATGATTGGTTGAGCTTGCTTACCTCTGCTCGAAAGTCCTTGGAGAAGCGCTTTTCAATGTCATCCTGGTTGAGCATCAGGATGTTGGAGCACATGAAAGTGGTGTTAAACATGCAAAACGTTGGTGAATCAGAAGTATGCTAAGACTTGCTTGAGAAGGTGTTAGAAAAGCTACAGCATGAGTGCAAAACATTTGTCCAAGTGCTCAAGAGCCATGGCTCAAGTATGTGCAAAGGAAGGGGTGTGTTAGGTGTCATGATTAATTTCATTATAAGTTTTGGTTAAAAACACAAGAAAATTATGTCCATTACATTTAAATAATATTTATTTATTTATTATTTTAATATATTTAAAAAATTAATAATTATTATTTTTATAAATTAATCATAAATGAATAAAAGAAAAAAAATTATATATTACATATTATACAAAAATTTATAAATAAAAGATTGAATTAGCACATATCTAAAATAATGTCTTTCTTTGCTAACCAAGCATAATATCAAAATTTTAGAATAGTAAACCATGATATCTTATAATAAAGTGATAAAATAAATGATACATAACTTTATAAAAAATATTTATTAATTTTAAAATTATTTAAATATTAATTTTTTTAATTGCATTTGCACTTTTAATCTTTGGTGGGAAACAAAAACTATTACAAAAAATAACAACTCATTAATGTTTTACTAATAGTTTTTTACAGTTAGTACAACAAACATAATTATTTCTACTAGGGTAAAATATTTCACTTGTGGAATTTGATGTAATGTATATATATTTATGCAGCTAAAAATTATTGTTGACTGGTTCCTTACGTTGTATTATTTACAAAGTTTAGCTGCAAAAGATCTTACATATCAAAAATTCATAAACGTTGCAAAGATATTAGTATGCATCCAAAATGCATTGGATAAAATTTATTTGTGGAATTTATATATAATATGTATATATTTGCCATACCTTAAATTTAATTGATTTTATACCTTTCAAAAGATGTTTTATCTCTCATAGAATGGTAATTTTTTTTGAATATTTCAAAAAAAATATTAAAATGAAAAATGTTTGAAGTGAACAAGGTTATGCATACTCCACAAATGGTAACTAGTAATCGTGGATTGCAAGCGTTTACCAATGAATCCTTTAAGTGCCAAGTTTTTGGAAGTTACGGAGTATTTATCCCGAGAGTTTTCATGCAACTCACTTATGGGAGAAAGGCAAACTACGACCTAAAATAAACTTATTCTTGGTATGTATTAATAAATAAAAGTTATTTATTGTAAACTTTATTTTTTGAAAGGTTATGGATATATTTTCTTCTTGAAAAATAATGTTTTACCATCTCACTGATAGATTTGATTACAAATGAAATTAACATCATAACAATTTTGGATATTTTAAAAGTATAAATAAATAAATATCTATATATATTGTAAAAATATTAAATATTTTTTATTTAAATTATTAATTATATTAATATGATTACTTTTAAGTTTTTATTTTTATTTATTTTTATAGCTGCAATTATGTAATCATTAAAGCTATTTTACTATCTCTGGAAACCCTAAGTCTTATTTATTATCTTCATAATATCAAATCAGATATTCTATAAACAAGTTCTAGAGTCAAACTTTCCAAGTTTTTCAGTGTCAAACCCAAAGTAGGGCACTCTTTCACTTTGGTTGGGGTAAGATTTTCCTGGATGAACACAACCTGCTGAAACCCACGGCATATAAAAAAAAAAGCTACAAGTTTTTTAAGGAAAAAGCTCTAAGTTGACACACACTTTAGCGATTGGGTAGCGGCGAGGATGGGAGAGGCGGCGGCGGTGAAGATGGTAGCGGAGGAGGAAACGCATTCTCCATTTCCACATCCTCATCAAACGGGGCAATCCCTTCTTTACGAAAACTAGAAGAACACAAGAGAAAGAGTGAAGAAAAACCACAACTTTGATGCAAAATCTACCTTTTCTTGCCAGCCGCTGCCACTGGACGCGAATCCATGCTGTCAGGACGAAACCCAAGAAGAAAAAAAAGAAAAAAAAACCCATCAGTTCTCCCAAAGATCGTGGAACTCGCAAGAACATCGCAAAACTCCAAGTTACCTCTGATCGATCTTCTTGCGCTGTGGAGTGATAGCCCCTTGCTTGCTCTGCTCTTTCAGCGAGGCCACCATCGCTCGTCCCCGCTCGACGTACCCGCGGAGCAATCGAATCTCTTCTCTCAGCTTGGCGGGCTCCCGATCTCTCCCTCCATCCCTCCTGGAACGCTGGCATCGAGCTGCTGCCTGCGCTGGATGCTCGAGTGGACGTCCTCGGCGATCACCATCTTGTCCGTGCCCACGCCCGCGTGATCCTCCTCCTTCTCCGCGCGATCTTGCTGCCCAAGCTTGTGATCCTCGTCCAAGCGAACTTGATCTTGCTGTCCGAGCTTGTTCTTGGTAATCCCAGTGAGCCACTCGCCGTGAGTGCTCTTCCTCTTGGAGCTCGTTTTCACGCCGTGGGCGATCATCTTTCCCAGGTACTCCGCCCACCGCATCTTGATACCGAGCTTGCACGATCGATCCAGCGCGAGGAGCATCTCCACCGGCATGCAATGAGGCGACGAGCTTCACCATAAGCATCTCGCAAATCGCCTTCCACGCCTCCACATTTTCGCCAAGAACAAGGTCGTGGACAGAGTATCCGCGAGAGGTGTGCTCCTTGAGATCGAGCACGATCGTGCCCAGTGCGAGCGTTCCTCCTTCGTCAGCACTCTGCCCAGTGGAGGAAATCTCGCTGCCATCGTGCTCTAAGTCGCCGATCGGGAGCCCGGTGGCCGCAGAGACGCTGGTGGAGTCGATCACCACGCGCTCGCCTCTGACCATGGCGCTGGAGCTCTGATGATCGAAGTTTGTGAGGAACTCGTCGCAGAGGGAGCGATCGAGGGACGGGAGGGGCTGCGCCACGAACTCGTCCAGGCCCAGGGCCTCCTGGAGCTGTCGTGCGCTGGGCTCCGCGAGAATGGAAAGATCCACGTCCCAGGAGGAAGCCAGTGGCAGTGGTGAACTTGGCCCCATTCCTGATCTTCTTCCTCTTGATCGTCTTCTTCCTCTTGATCCTGCTGGGCGATAACCGCGCGCTTGCCTTGGATCGTCTTGCTCCGCCGCTGAATGTCCGGAGCTTCTTTGGATGCTTTGGATGGATTGGGCGATTCTCTGGAGCTATCAGCAAGCTCCTCCAGCACCGGGGCACATTCCTCGTGAGAAAAAGTTTCGGTCGCGAGCTCGCGCTGCTGCGCCGATCGATTCTATAGCGTGGATCACCTCCCACATTGCGCCGTCAAAGAAAAAACGATCAAAGAAAAAAAGAGAAGCTTTACCTTTTCTTCCATCGCTGCTTGCGTGATCAAACTCTCGCTGCAGAACAAGCATTCTTTATTGGATCAAAGCTCTCAAGCATTTCTTCATTGGCGGGCATAGCCGCGAACAGTATATTCTGTCAAAGATGCCTTTTGTACGACACTGCTCGTAAGACGAATATTCGGCTGCCTAAACACCGTACGGCTAATGCGTACTATTCGACTGGCTAACACGCTACTGTGATGATAGTATTTACATGATTGGTCACGCGGGGCTTTCCCCAAAAACTTTTCCTCCAAAACCTTGGACGAATCGGATCACCACCACCACCTCAACGCCTGGAGCAGCGATTTTATGGACAAAGTAAACACAGAAAAGAGAGAGACAGAGAGGAAGAGAGGTCTCTCGCACTCACCAGTTTGGATAGTGAGAGTAGCCATCGTGGTGAGGATGAGAGTGGGAGTAGCCACCGCCGCCACCATCGTGAGAATGAGAGTGAGAGTGCTGGTATCCACCGCCGCCACCATCGTGAGAATGCGAGTGTGAGTGAGACCGCGAGTATCCACCACCGTCGTGACCGCCATAGTCATGCGAGTAGCCACCACCAGCGTCGTGGGAGTAGTGCCCGTGCCGCCGTGACGATCTTCCACTGCTTCCATGATGCATTTGATGATCCGGAGGTGGCGTCATGTAACCCGACGAATAACGCCCGTGGGAAGAATAGCCTCCTGTTCAGCGGAGCTTAGTCACGAAGATCACAACCAAAAGAAGAAAAGAGCTTACCATCGTAGTGACTTTGCATATAATGCGGCCCATTCTGGTGATAGTAGTCCGCCCCGTGATCCCCATATCTGTTATCGTGGTGCGAGTGATAGTAGTGGTCGTCTGGAGCGCTGTGCATGTATCGGCTCCTGGGAGACGGCTCGGACCAGTGGCCTCCAGCTTCACCATAAGCCTGGTAAGGATAATCTCCCTGGTAAGAGTGACCATCGGCCGGATAGTGCTGTCCACCGTAGTGATGTCCGTGGTGACCGTCGTACTGAGGAGATATCGGACCCGGTGGCATGTCTGAAAATCCACCGTAAGAATTGTAGCCGTGATCCACTGGCATGCCGTAGCCTTCGTCACCGTAGACACCCGGGTTGTAGTGCTCGTAAGATTCAGGCCCGTTGGATGGCTGCTGCACAGCGTTTCGAGCATGGTGGTAGCCTGGAGAGAAGCTGTCTGGATAGGCACCTGGATCGGCTACGTCTTGAGGTGGTGGCGGCGGAGATGAAGGTGGCGGTGGAGGAGGAGTGCTCGGAGGCGGAGAGGAAGGTAGCGGAGGCGGACTGGGAGGGGGACAGATCGGGAGCGGCGGACCTGTAAGAATAGACGCTGGAGAAACGTACTGCCTTTGCCAGGTATCCGTCTCTGGCGAGACGTCCTCCATCTCGAGCTCCCCGTCCACGTCTTCCAGGACATGACGATGTCTCTCCACGGGATCGTGAGGTGTAACAGTCGCAACTGCGTAATCTTCACCGGCGTTTGCTTCCGTTCCACCCGCGTTGGCTTCTTCTTCTTCTTCAAACATACGCGGGATACTGACACCAGGTAACGTAAAGCTCGCATTGCTGCAAAAAATGATATGAGAATTGACAACTCCGAATGTATAAAACGAGAACTTACCTTCCATACTCGTCGACTTGCATTCCTTCCATTTCTCGTATGGGGTCATCGACGGGGCGTTCGTTTCTAGCAGGCCGTCGGCTCATATTCATAAGCACTCTGTCGCAATTGTGTAGCTCAATCTCGCGCATGAAGTGCCGTATGACAGTCGGGGGAAATACATTTCGTTCATGCCAGAGTTTAAACACCTGCAAGACCACATAGCTTAACTGTCAAGAAGAATGCAGGTATATGCACAAACCTTACTTTTAAACATTGGCGACGGTTTTCCCTAGCAAAATTCCCCGGTGGTGCTGCAGAGCTTAACAACCGGGGTAAGGCATTGTGTACAATGTGTCGGTACACGCCAGCGGGTGTACCTGGAACAAAGCACGCAAAGTTAGAACTCCAGGAAAACGAAAAGGAAAACATGCATCTGTACCTCGCAAATTATGTGAACTCACAGTAATGGAATCCACAAGAAAGAATAAGTCGATGCGCCGGGATAAGCTTTGTTCCGCTTCCAATCTCTTCGCTATGATATCGATTACCTGATAACAGCAACGTCAATACAATATATATGAAAGTCAAAAGGATCGAAAGAAACCTGGTCGGCAAGATTGAGCTTAGCACAATCTATAGCCTGCCGTGTCGCACAATGTATGCTCTCTTTGGCGCGAGACAAATTGTCCAGTAACCCCTCAAAGACATTCCTCGCAGTTTCCGCTTCATCATTAGCAGTCGGCAGAGAAGGTAAATCTTTGCTCGCTCCAGAGGCCTGCTCCATAACAATTTCAGGTCCGGTACCAACATCCATCGGAGTCACAGGTCCTGGTACTTTGGACTGAACTGCTGCCATTATATACTTCATAGACGTGGATGTATCACCGTCTTTTGACGCCAGCTTCTGCTTCAGCTCCTTGGCAGCTTCATACCTGTAAATGTGAACCAGTTTTAAGAAGAAACGTTCACTAGATAGCAGAAAATACTTACGCTTTCCGAACGTTGTTGTCGCTATGAAGCTTCGACGCTGAAATATCATTCAGCTTGAATGAATCCTGATGTCCTGCGGCCTTCGTTCTCAAAGAGCTTGTTCTCGCAGACGTGTGTTCGTTTTCACTCGCTAAAGATTCACCGGAGTGGCTTTCAGTCGTACCTCTTTCTGAAACGAGACTGGAGGTTTCCGTTCCATGTCTCACCGGAGAATGCCTCCTCATTTTGGAGTTCGAAGTTTTTGGTTTGTCCGTAGAAAGGCCCCTAGCCTTCGTTGTACCGGGAGAAGTCTCGGAGATTCCAGGCTTTGAAGAGTGCCGACTGCCACGTCCAGAAGTATCAAGCTTCTCAAGCTGAACCTTGGTGCCACCTTCGCGTGAAGACTTCACCGTAACAGCATGATCAAAAAGCACTTTGTTTCCTTCTTCTCGAAGTGCCGGAGAAACTGGAGAATATCTCATACTTCCGGGAGAGATCTTCGCTGGAGACATACTCTGTAGCCTCTCTAGCGCTGTTTTCGCAAGAGCACCATCCTTTCGATATAAAGAAACCTCAAAGTGGTTTTCCAGTTTCCGCTTGTCCTCTCCTCTGTGAAACTTCGACAAGTGTGAAGAACGCCCCCACCATGCAGACGGCGAGTTCTTCTCCGGCTGCCTTCTTTCTTTCGGAGCTCCTTGCCCATCAATAGACAGACGACCTTTGCTAACAGGCTCGTCCCTTCGGACTAGAGACTCCGCGTGAAATCGAGCAATCTCACCGTCATCCGCCCTCGGAGACACGGGAGAATACTTCATGTCAGCCATACTTGGAGTTTTAGCTTCTGAGTTTTCCGCGGTGCTTTGAAGCTCGTCACTCTTCGATTCAAACTCCAGAACACCAGCTTTTACGTCACTCTTGCCCTCGGAAAGATCCATGGAGACGGGCGACAATGCAGAAGACAAGGGAGTCCTATCCTCTGGATTGTCCATCTGAGTTCCACCAGCATCAGAAGGAGGTCCTGTTTCAACATCCCTTCTGTCTTCCCCGAGAGTGTTACCGGATGGACTTGCCTGAACCTTAGCTTGAGATGAAATAGCCGACTCTGCCTTTACAACCAGTTCTTCTGCAACCTCTACAACTTCTTGAACAGCGGGACTGACGGGGGTATCCTGAGTAACTTCGGCCTTCACTGAAACTTGGATACTGGTCACCGAGAGGACTTCTGATTGCTGTAGATCTTCACTGCCCAGGCCAACCGACGCAGGGTCCATTTCCTTGTCCACAAACTCTTTAGAAGTAACGGTGACCTCCTGTAGCTTATCAGCGTCATCAGCGACACAATTCTTGACCACCACCCCCTCACTCAATCTCGTCTGCTCAGTAGAATCGGACTTCTGGCTGACGTTGTCAGGTGGTTCCTCCAGCTTTGCATCCCTAGCAGTTTCTTCTTTAGCAGCTTCTGCGACGCACGCGGTCATAGCTTCTAAGGCACGATGAAGTCGCTTTGATGGAGGAAGAGCCGCTTCACTGTCTGCAAGACTGTTGCGCATTCTATACTTCTCTGCTTTAGGAGGTAAGCTAAGTCCGGTATACTTCTCCTCGAATCTCGGTTTTCCATCTGATGCTCTCTCTTCTGTTGCCTTCGTCGACTCTGAACCATTGCAAGTCGGTGTGTCCGTTGTCGACGAAGGTGGTGAATGTGGGGGTCCCCTTTTCTCCTCTTCCTCGCTGTGCTTATCAATCGCTGGTTCCTTCGCAGCTCTAGCTCTGGCTCTCTTCACGATAGGTAGATTACTATCAGGATCTTGAGTGATTGGAGACGTCTCGTTAGAAGTGTCCGGCTTATCTTTGTTGTGATCAGAGTCTGTTTCCGCGGACCTTGATTCAAAAGCCGGTCGAAGCCTCTTCTTCAACGTAACCTTCCGCCTAAACGTGTACTCTTGAAACTCATCTGCGGTTGGTGGCGTAGCGTGGTCCTCGTCGCTATTATCCTGAAAAAATAAGTAATGTAAGTCAAGTACCGCTGGATGCCATAACTTACATCTTTCCGAACCACTCCTCGAGGCGTAGATGCTTTCACAGTCATCTGCTTCCTCTTCTTCCGACAAAAATTCGGAGGGAATACAGGCGTCGTAGAATTTACAGGTGCTGACTTCCTAGACTTCGCGGGCGTCCTTTGCTTTGCGGGCTTCTCAGCCTTACCAGCCTTCTTCTTGTCCGCTCGCACGGTAGAAGGTACATTGACAACCTCCTCGTTGAAGAAGTCAAAACTGTCAAAGGTGTCGAGCTCTTCGTGCGAAGCGAAATTCGTCTGGACCTTCTCGTGCAGCACAATTCCTTTCGGAGTCGTATCATCGTCCGAATTCCCATCCAACGAGCTACCTGATCCCCATCCTAAATCGTAGTCCTCCATCTCTGACGTCCCCCCATTCCCTGCCTGCCCCTCTACGTCAAGCTTACCACCTAGATCCATTACACAACTAGCCTCGCCATCTTCTAGCTCCCTAAACTCTATCCCGCTTCTACCATTCATATCTCCATCTCCCGAGCCTACTTCTACCTTCTCGGCTACGTCACAGATCTCACTCACCGCAAGGCGAAGGTCGGCCGGCGTACACTTCGAGTGGGCTTTAGCGACGAGCGAAGCTTTGGCCTCCGGAGTGAATTTCGAGATCTCGGAGTGATGGCAAAATCGTCTGGAAGCGTCAACAAGAGTAAAACTAGCTATTGATAACAAAGGGCGAAAGAAAAAAGGGGCTACTTACATCTGCTTAGTTCCAAAGAAGACCACGAACACGCGGGCCGGATTGTGATGCTGACCAAATGCCTCTGGTTTGCTCACCTACAGGGATCTTCGCCTTCTTGTTATCAAGAATTTCTAGCAAAAGGCACAAAGAAGAAGCTCAAATTACCTGGGCCGGCCATGCCGGGAATCCCTTCACCTTTGCCAGCACCAAATCCCCCACGCTCCATTCGGCGGCAGCGGCAGCGGCAATCGACGAGCTCCTGCCTCGCTTCTTGCTCGGCGCCATCGGACAAAATCCACCGCTAGCCCATCCTCCCGCGAAGAAGCGTCATCGCGAGCAGAAGCGCGAGTGGAAATCATTCAGCCGAGCCCTTTCCTAGCCCCGGCGGGATCCAGCGCTCGCCTAGACCAGCTCGTCATGCCACAGCGCACTAAACCCTAGCGCTCTCTCCCCCGTCACACAACCCTAGATAACAAATCCGTGCCGTCCACTGGCGCCAATCGACGGCCGGCTAGAGACATGCATGCGTTCCCAGCTCTAGATCTCGTCCAAGAGCCCTAATTCTCGTGTGGGAGAGACGACCAAGGCCATGGGATTCGAACGCTCGCACTTAGGGTAATTGTTCTCTATGTAATCGATCGGAGTTCTGCGCAGGCCCGATCGATAGCAAAATCTCTCTCGCGGAGAATGTGTGTGGCAATATGGGCGCTGGAGGAGCATCCGATCTACAAATTCATCCTCACGCACAACCGCGATGAATTTCACTCGAGGTAGGCTCTTCGATAGATCGATCGGGCTTTCGAGCTTAGTTAGAGAAATTTCTATCACAGGGAGTCTTGCCCCGCTCACTGGTGGAAGGAAGAGCCGGGGAATATTCTCGCCGGTCGCGATGGCAAGGAAGGAGGCACCTGGCTGGGAATATCCGCGACTGGCCGCCTGGCGTTTGTGACGAATATTCGCGAGCCACTCGAAAAGAATGCCGCTGTCTCGAGAGGATTTTTGCCTGTGCAGTTTCTACAGGTATGACAACACGGTTAGTTCTTTCTTCTTTCTTATGAACAGTGTTCTAAACCTTTTTTTTTAAATCTTCTCTAGAGCGAGTTGAATCCAAAAGACCACATCGACCAGCTTTCCTCACAAGCGATGAGCTACAATGGTTTCAATCTTGTGGTGGCGGATGTACACTCGGGAGAAATGGCTTGCTACTCGCACAGCCTCAAACTCGGGGATACTCTCACGCACGATATCTCGAGAGGCATTCATGGAGTGAGCAATGGAGTTTTCGAATCAAACTGGCCCAAGGTTTGGATAGTTTTCCTGACGCTCTTTTTGTAGTTCTTCGTTTTTTGTTAAACTTTCGTGTCGCCCAGGTTGATAGGGGCAAACGCAAACTCAAAGAGCTACTCGAGAGGTATCCGAACAAGGAAATCCCCGATAAGATCATCATCGACGAGCTCTTGCGCGATGGACGAGTTTTTGACGACTCGGTTCTCCCGGCGACTGGCGTCACTCTGGAACGGGAGCGAATGCTCAGCCCACTCTTTGTCAGCCAGGTTTGCTCAGCTCTTCCAAACTTCCTGGCGATTTTTCTAGCTTCGATCTTTCCAGGAGCAGTATGGAACGATCTGTATGACGATCATAGCCGCGCGGCGAGACGACGTCGTGTCAGTGTATGAAGAGTACTTGAGCGGCGGGGTCTGGAAGAACCACAAGGTAGAATTCGCAATGAAGAAGCTAGAATCGTCGTTAAACTAGCGCGAGCGTTCCAAAGAGGTCTGTGTTGTAGGATCTAATCTAAAGTTTTCTTGTGGAGTAACACTTAACGCTAGATGGAATGGCCCCAGGAAGAAACGATAAGAACCAGATTTAAATGTAATAAATGATTAATTTACACTGAATGGGTTTGCATTAAGTAAAATTTATTTCTTAACGTAAACAAGGAAATAAAGGTTTAAACTTCTCTCTCTCCTTCTTGGAGCGCCTCGGGGAGGCGATCGATCGATCGATGTCGCCCTATCGCGAGTTGCTGCACCGCATTGCCGCATTGGTGATCCCTACTGGCCGCGGAGACATTGAGTTCTTCTCGGCTTTTGATCAGTCGGTCCGCTCGCGATGATGGCGTCGATGAAGATCCACCAGGTCCTTATGGCATTCCCTCCGCAGCGATTGCCGAGCTTGTGCCGGTCCGGATTGGAAGCCTCGAGGAGGGATTTCGCGCCGAGGCCAGGGTTCTCTACGGCGTCAAGATCGAAGGTAGCGTGCAGGTTCTCACGATCCTGAAGGATTCCAGCGGCGAGGAGATCTTTCTCGCCATCAAGCACCGCCACGGAGGAGGAGGTCCGATCGAGATTTCCCAAGGGAGCAAGAGTGGCGGCCAAGGAGCCAACCATGGCCAGTCTTCGTCGATCGCGATCCTCTCCTTCGACAATCCGGCCAACGTGGAGGTTCTTTCTTTTCTTAGCGAGAGGCAGCTCTTGCGATTCCAAGGTATGAGCCCCGCGGAGATAAGGCTGGAAGAGAACAAGCTCTTCAAAGATGGGAGCTTTGAGGCCGCGCTTACGCCATGAGCATCGCCAAGTGCGAGGAAGAAGGGCATCAGAACCAGCGGGAGCGTGTCCTCGCTTTCTCCAATTCGGCGGAGTGCTACCTCAGGCTGGGACGATACGAGCAGTGCATCGATGCCGCCAGCGCCGCTCTTGCCATGGATCCTACCCATGTCAAGAGCATCCATCGAAAAGCAGTGGCTTTGATCAAGCTCCAGTGCTACGAGTGGTCGTGACAGCTCTTGAGCGACGTCCTTGGGGTGGAAGAAGGCATCGATCGAACTTACGCCATGGCAACGAAGCTCGCGAGGCAGAGTCGAGACGCCAGCGGTGCTATGGAGGAACTCTCCAAATTTCTTCGAGCTTGGAGCGATGGAGAGGAGGCGCCGAAGATTCCAGAGTTTGCCGAGTTCGTTGGCCCGGTCGAGGTGAAGATGTGCGAGGCAGAGCCAGGGGCGAGGCAGGGGACTGTTTGCGACGAGAGAGATCAAGCGAGGGGAGCTTCTCATGATCTGCAACACGGTGGTCTTTGAGAAAGGTGACAACGAGTCTGCTTGCAAGAGAGACGCCGCTACACGGCTTATCAACATTACAAGCAGATCTACAGCCTGGTTTGCGAGGTGGCGAGCACCGATCGAGAAGTTCCGGGAATGGAGCTCTTCCGGCCAAACTGGGCCACGCCCAAGACCTGGTCGAGGATCAGGAGCGACGAGAGCAGTGCCAGGGAGGAGCTTCAAGGCATCGAGGTGAAGAAGACTTTCGAGATTGTAGGCAAAGCGAGATTCAATCCCAAGCTGCCCGGGACCGGTCCGACCAGGCGCCTGCTGTATTCCTCGATCTGGCCCCTGCCGAGCTTCATCAACCAACTCTTGCGTCCCCAACACCTCGCTCTTCGGCAACACGACCTGTTACTTCGCAGCGAAGGACATCCAGGCCGGGGAGGAGATCATCCACAAGCCAGGCCATCCATACAGGCGGAAAAGGCTCTCGTACAAGTGCTCGTGCAAGAAGTGCGAGCTGGAGCGTAGGCTGGAAAGGATCTCGCGGAGGTGGCGGGTTGCTACAGGGACTTGCGAGAGACGAACTTCGTGTTGACAGTGAAAGGAGGGACCGGATGGTGGCGAAGCTGGAACGTGTGCTGGCGACGAAGCTCCAGGAGGAGGTCCCCTGGTCGCTCTACATCATGTACTACCAGGAGCTCAATGCTGGAAAAGCGGTGGCGCTTCCAGAAGGGATTGTTCCAGCGGCGGAGCGCATCATGGACGCGATGCACCGGTTCTCGGCGGCCAACTCGCCACTGTTGCTGGAGACGGTGGCGAAGTATGCCCGGGACATGGACGCAGTGCAGAGGATCAAGGCGGAGGAGTGGGAGCGTAAGTTTGGCAAGCAGGAGGAGCGCGTTGCAAAGGCCATCCAGGAGAGGAGCTGGGAGCTCGGCACACTGCTACACGAGGCGGAGCTGGCTGCCTCCCTACGTGCGTAAGCGGATCTCTCTCTCTCTCTCTCTCTCTCTCTCTCGCTCTCTCGACTTTGTGATCGATGTTTCCAGGGAAATGAATTACGTACGCAACTGACCACCTTCCAGCGTAAGTCTCTCTCTCTCTCCACTGCTGCTGACTTCGTGATCGATCTTCCCAGGAAAATGAAATACGTATGCAATCGTTCAAAAACAAGGCTCTACACTTGAAAGCATTTCAAGCTAGCAAAATGACCGATGGTTAGTCTCGCTGTAAGAAACGCTTGACAACAACCTTTGTGTGTGGCAGTCTCACTGGAAAAAAGAAGACCTGACGGTTGCTCGTAGAACGCACCAAATGGAGAAGACAATTACCTGTCCAGTGAAGGCGAGGAGGAGCATTCGATTGGAGAAGTCTGGATCGAGAATGTGAGTGGCTTCGATATCTCCTTCGTGCTCTCCCAGATTGCATACTCGGAGCCCGCCATTACGAGCTTTTAAGTGGATGATTTTGGAAGCAAAGGTTCCATGTCAAATGAGATCTTGCCTGAACAGATGGATTTTTTACCTTGGACCAAGCTTCAAAATGAGTCGATCTGCGATAGTTGCAACAGACATATCGAATTTTCTGCTGCTTGGATCTTGATCTTACTCTCCGCGTTAATTTTGTTCCGTAGCCTCAGCTCCAGTAACTGGTTTATCTATTCTTGCAGCTCCCGGTGGTAGAAATAGTGATCGTAAAACTGCCTACGATATGTGGTTATCCATCCATTGTGGTGAAATCAAAAGCATATTCCCATCCGCCTTTAAAGCTAGAGAAATTCGATAACGAAGCCTTACTGCCTCGAGGATTCCAACTCTTCGGTTTTGGCAGTCACAATCAGAAGATAGGCTTGAATTCTTTCATCCTCTATCTCCGCCTCCTCCTCATCCTGAAAGCCATGCTTTAGTTTCCAGGAAAAAGGAGGAAAAGATCATGAAGCAAATCTGAGATTGTGTTCGAAGAAGAAAAGAGAAGAGTGGCCATCACAGCTATTCCAATTGAAGACGGTGAACTTCATCCCAACCGAATTAAGCAGCTGATCAAACCCAAGTTAATCAGCTGCTTGCTTTGCGCCACATCAGAGGCAATTTGACAATCAGCTTTTGAGCATCGCTAGCTCCGTGATTTAGTGACAAGTTACAGTGGCTACGTTTAGAGAATAAATACTTTCTCCCCACAACTTCGCAACTAAAGTTTGGGACCTGGATAAAAGTTTTGTTTAGCGTGCCTTCTATTCCTAAGCACTCCGAAGTGTGGATTGTCCGAAAGATGGTACCAAATTTTTTTGAGAGATGGCAAAGTTCCGATTGTCCCAGGCCCAATCAATGTCGATCCTCCTCAAACGCGAGTTATGCAGAAGTTGAAACAACTTTCACCATGTCGTCATAAACTTCAGCATATCCAAGTGTAGCAAGCTCCCGCTCACGAAAGCCAGGGACAAGAGTTGCTTGACATTCTTGTACCGCCATCTTTTCCTGATGCAGAGTTTGGATAGTTTCAAGAGTCTAGAGACTTCTTTGACACCACAATCTCCATGAATTTCCAGCTCTTGCGAGCCATTGCACCTGAGTACAATCGAATTCCTTTTCCAGAATCAGGGCAGGCCAATGAAGTTCGTGAAGGAATTTCAGCAGTACCACAGTTGTACATCTTCCTCAAGCTTGCTTAGAATAAGCGGCAACTTCTCCATTTTGAAAAAAAACCTAATAACTTTGGAATCCAAGATTGTAAGCCTAAATATTGAAACTTATTGGAATAGCAAAATCTACAAAGCTATTTACGTGATTTCTTCTTGCTGGATTCTTCTTCCTCCTCGTCTTCCTCTTCGTCTTCGTACTCCACCTTGCATTCCTCCACGACTTTCTCCACATCGTGGAGATTGGAGACCATGTCTGGCACTTCCTCCATGATCCGGTTCACTGTCTCGCACGACATATCGCTGGTTATCTTCACTTCGATGTTCTCATCGCCAGTCTCAGAAGGCCCGGACTTGACGACGATGATCTCCGGCTCGCTCGGAGCCACTCCAGCCATCTTCTTCGTGCTCTCCCAGATTGCATACTCGGAGCCCGCCATTACGAGCTTCCAAGTTGATGATTTTGGAAGCAAAGGTCCCATGTCAAACCTGTGCCGAGCTCACAGCTAAGAGATCTTGTCTTGCCATGAAACTATGTTTACCTTGGACCAAGCTTCACAATGAGTCGATCGGCGATTGTGGCAACGTACATGTCGAAGTCCGCTGCTTGGATCTTGATCTTACTCTCCGCGTTTATTTTGTTCCGTAGCCTCAGCTCCAATAGCTGGTTGATCTGTTCTTGCAGCCCCCAGTAGAAATAGTGATCGTAAAACTGCGAGAAAGGAAAAGAGGCGCCAATCAGAGCTTGAAACAAAACGAAGATTGCTCTGCTTACGATACATGGAATCCCAGGATGCGTGAGAATGTAGACATAGCCGAGATGGACTTTCTCGTCGGGAAAGTGCCAGTGCCGCTGGGTCGATCCGGTATCGTGGTTATCCACAAACGTGACCGCTTTCTTTGGATACCAACCTGCAAGTTTGTACAGTGTTGAGCAACAAAAACCACTGCAAAGTTCCAGAGATAAACATACCGACTAGACCAGGAGGCCTGCCTTCCTTGTCCCGCAGACGCCACAGCTCCATCTTCACGGCCTCTTGCAAGACTCCTTTGGTGGTGAAATCGAAAGCACATCCCCAGCCGCCGGTCCCGTCGATCCAGTCGCAGAGCTGCTGCCTGTGAAAATCTGCCACAAGACAAAGTTCCTCAAACGTGAGTTCATCGAGCTCAAAATTCTCTATCCAGCAAGCCACTACTGACTTTGATCGGCAGCTAGACGACCACTGACGTAATTCAGCGACGTCCACAACTCGCCAACAACAAAACTCGGGTCGGTTCTCTGACAGTACCTGATGATCAACACGCCTGTTCCTGATCAGTTCTATAGTTTCCACGACTACTCCTCCACCTCTACTTACAATTTGGTGTACTTGGGAGCGTAGCCTTTGACGAAATCAAACCGCCACCCATCAAAACCAATCTCAGCCTTCATCCAGTTCAACCAGTCGGTCAGCTCGTCCTGCACTTGCTTATTAGTATGGTCAAGGTCTGGAGCAGCTGCGTAGCTCTCACCAGTGTCCTGCTTGCCTTGGCCACCACTCCTATAGATATCATTGCACACTACTGCCCAAGGCCCCCAATCCAGCCTCTTATCCGGAGTTCCACCTTCAAAGATGTTCCAGTGACCCTGAGCATCCTGTTTCCATCCACTGCGATGGTTTATCACTATATCAGCGATGCAGCAAATGCCCTGCTCGTGGAGAGTGTCGATGAGCTCCTTGAGCTGCGCCTCGTTTCCATACGAGGAGGAGTTTAAGTCGTAGAGCTGACTGGGAAGATAGCCTGAAAAGAAAAAAAACGAAAGAACAGTCAAGAACTTCGCTAGGAAGAACAGTGAGGTGCTTACCTTGTCGATCGACTGACTGCGATGGCGGAGGAAGCCAGATATCGGTGACACCGGCTTGGGCGATGACGGGAGCCTTCTCTTTGAGATCTACATACCATGGTTTCTTGGAATGAGATTCCCAGTTGAATCCCTGCGAAGAACATAGAAAAGAAAAAACTTCGATGGCAAGGTCTATAAACAAAAAAAACGAACCTGGAAGAGTATGTGATTCGAAGGACTCGCTGGTTTGGGCCGCTTAGCTCGGACTCGAGCACTCTTTACTTGTGCTTCTTCTTCTTCTTCATCTTCATCGTCATGTTCTTCTTCTTCTTCTTCTTCTTCTTCTTCCTCCTCTTCTTCTTCCTCCTCTTCATCTTCCTCATCGTCTTCGCCATCGTCTTCGCTCCCAAACACCGCTCTCAGCCTCCTCTTCCAAGCGACATTGGAGCTCTTCTCCAGCGGCCGCCCACACAAGCCACATTCCGCCCTACACGACCATCGCGCGCTACTGCTACTTCCAACCCTGCCTAGATTCCTTACATTCCTCCCGGAAATCAGCAGCAGCGATCCTCCCTCGCGATCGCACGCGTTGTGGTTCGCGATCCATGGCGGACGCGCCGCCGCCACCGCTGCCATTCCCTCCCGCCCCTGTTCTTCCCGCTCTAACTCTAAACCTCTTTCGATCTGCCACGTGGGATATTACGTGGAAGGCCATATCCACAAGGACGCCACGTCATTAAGAGCGAAGAGAAAAGAGGGAAAAGGGAAGAGAAAAGAGAGGGAGAGAGAAGAGAGAAAGGAGAAGAGATAATGGGTGTTGCTTGTGTGGAAAATGCTTCCCACGACGATTTATCCGCTAGAACTTGCAAAGAGCAGCGATCGATCATGGACGCGCTCGCGCTCTCCAATGCCGCCTACGAGCCCAGCCTCACGGGAGCAATGTCATACCTGGAATGCGCGATCCAGGGGGGAGTGGAGCTCATCCATCACCAAGGAATCGATCAAATCGGCAGCGCCAGCAGCAATCAAGCGCTGCTGTGCTGCCGGGTGCGCGAGACCGCGCAAATCCTCGTCAGCTGCCGCGGCACATCCAGCCTCTGCGACGTCGTCCAGGATCTCAAGCTCCTCCCGGCCAGGCTCACGTATCACGATGCCGCCGCGCACTGGGGATTCGCCGAGCGGGCGGAAGGAATCCCCCTCGATCCATATGCCAATCTCATCGATTCCGGCGAGAGGATCACATTCACGGGGCATTCGCTGGGCGGTGCGGTCGCATCGCTGCTGGCGCTGCGAATGCTGCGCGAATTGGACCGCGAGGAGGGCGAATTCGCAGAGAATCGCGAGGATTTCTGCCAGGAAGAACAGGGGAAGGAGACGAGGATCAAATGTATCACTTTCGGGGCGCCGCTCTTCGCGAGCTCGCATCTGGCGGAGCTCATCACCGCGCGGTACAGTGCGGTATACCTCCACGTCGTGCAGCGCGGCGATTGCGTGCCAAATCTCATCCCCTTCCTGTCTACGATCAAGAGGCTCTTCAGTGACGACGACCACTGGGAGGGCTTTCGCGTCGCGCGCCGCGCGCTGGGATCTCTCCTCCCGACCCTGGGCTCCTCCATCGTCTCGGCGATCCCGGCCCCAATTGGATTCTTGCTACGATCAGCGCTTCGGCTGGCAGTGATCCCCCGATCGCTCTCCTACGGCTTTGCGGGCCAGGTCCTCACGGTCGATGCCTCCAGTCGATCCTTCTGGGTCTCGGGCTCCGATCGATTGAACGCCTGGCACTCGCAGCTCGTCATGGCGATCAGTGCCGCCAGGGACGCCGTGAAGAACAGCCACCATCACAGCCTCCTGAGCTATAAAATGGCCATGGATTTTACGATTTCATCGTCTTGTTCCTGCCAAAGGTTTCAAAAACACGATCGATCATGGCTGGGATTCGCTGTGGCATCATCCATCGCTAGCGCAGCAAATGCCTTTCATGAGCATTGCGTTTGCAAGAAACTCCACGCTCCAAGAGAACAAAAGAGACACCGGCGATTCCAACGGCTGGGATGGCTCCTGGGGTTTATCGGGAGAATATCCAGGCACCTTCGCGCCATTCAAACAATGTGCCTCTACACGCTCGTCAACACCGCATTGAGCAGCTTAGTTTACAGATCGTTGCTTGTTTCGAGGCTCCAATTCTTAGCACTGTAGAAATCAAAATCAAAGTTCTTCCAAGAAACCAAAAAGTTTTTGTTAGTTTTCTTCGTTGATTGTTTCGAGGCTCCAATTCTTAGCACTTTGTAGAAATCAAAATCAAAGTTCTTCCTTGCTGGTTCTTACGAAGTTCTTCCAAGAAACCAAGAAGTTCTTGTTAGTTTTCTTCGTTGATTGTTTCGAGGCTCCAATTCTTAGCACTAAAGAAATTAAAAAGTTCTGGAAGTGTTGGAAGTTCTCGTGGGTAGTTTTCATCGTTGATTCAAATGCAAAAGATTGATTTCACGCCTTGCCTGTTGAAACAAACATGTCAATCACAAGGACAAGGGGCTCTCATCCTCTTGTAGCACGAAAAGATCTGAAAGATGAAATGGCTGTGCAAGTAGACACGAAGTCGATTGTCAATCCGTAACTTCGAGTGGAAAAGTTGGCAGATCTTTTCTGATAGCCTTGGGCACTTTTGGCCTGTGTTAAGACAAAGTTGAATTGCCAAAACACAACACCTAGAGAATTTATCTACTGCAAAAGGGATGTATGTGCTTCCAAAAGACATGCTTTTCATTCCGGACATTTGATGAGGACGACCCAGCAAACACAACAACACATTGTTGAGGCAAGCATTTCGACACATTTCTGGCCCACATTGAGAAGCCTAATTATGCAGCGAAAAACAAGGAGAAAAAGGAAAGAAAATGAAAGCCAAACTGCCATTGGATGATTTCTGAAAGCCAACACACCATACATGTGTAGAAATGAAATAAAACTTTGATGTGCTTTGGTACAAGTGTGATACTTCGCAGTCAATCAGAGAAAGAGCCACATCATGCCGTGGGAGTGGGGAGTTCTGCATCTGTTTTGCCGATTTACCCATTGACAAATTTTGTCAAGTACAAGCACATCCTGTGGTGGGGAATTTCGCATCTGTATCGCCGATGTACTACGGATCAACACTATACTAACTCAACTCGCACAGACACTTCAAATCCTATTATAACCGCTGTAAGGCTTGGAAATCTTACATGACTTGTACAAGAGCTGCGGACCACTCGGCCCAGTCGGCGGGCTGACCTGCAAGTCACAGGTCAAGCGCACCAAAATACTCGGGCTCACCGTCCGCACCACCTTGACTTTCCCCTGCGCGCTGATCTCCGCCACCAAATTCACCGCATTCCGGCTCATCTCCGCCGACATCTCCCTGCTCACAAGCTTCTGAAGGCTGGGGTTTCCCACCATCTCCACCACCGCCAACTTTCTCTCCCGGTGCCCCTGCATGAACGGCTCCACGTACGTGCTAACCAGCTGCAAGTTCCGGTAGAGAATGTCCACCCGGATCTTGTTGTAGTAGACCACGATCTGCGTGTTTGGGTTGTAGGCGTTGATGGTGAGCAGCAAGTCGAGGTCGAGCAGCGAGTTGAATTCGTAGTCGCTCAGAGTGGCGTTTGAATCGGTGATGGTGAGCAAGAGCGACGAGACCTCCACCTCGTCGATGGAGAGCTTGGGCGCTCTCGGGCGGACGATGATGTAGAAGCACAGCGCTGCGATGGCCGCCAGGACGAGGAGGAGGAACAAGACGCAGCAAGTCCAGCAAATGCAGCGGCACCATCGCGGGTAGCGGCGCCGCAATCGCGAGGATCGAAACCCAAGCGGTGATCCTCCTCCTCCTGCGCGATTCGCTGGCGGAGGAGGGCTTACGCTGTTGGAGGTGCTGTGGAGATTGGCGACGTACTGGCTGTTGCTGATGTGAAGATCCGGGCTCGTCGTCGCAGCGCTTGCTAGGGCTCCTGGATCACGATCGGAGGAGTGATTTGCCTCCAAGCTCCCCGGGGGCTCGTCGATCTTGAGGTTTTGGTAGCCGATCTCCTTGGAGGCCGGGGAGCGCTGGAGTGTGAGCCTGTTTAGGATGGAGTTCTTGGCCATCTCCTCATATCCCTCCGCGGCGCGAGAGATACTGAAGCGACCCAGCCGACGCCACGGCTGCCCTAGAAATTTGAATAAGATTCGATGGGTATATTTTTCTAGGGCTGGGGGCTGTGGGCTAGGTAGGGCTTTTGGATCTGCGGCTTCGTCCACAATGGTGAGTTTGATCTAGCTTAGTTTTTAGCTCTTGATCTAGAATCCTTGTGAATTCTTGTGTGATTTTTCTTACATTGTTCTTCTCGTTGTGCTTTCTATGTATGGATTCATGGATACAATTTTTCTACTAGCAGAAAGCTTGAGTTATAAGTGCTGCGATTTTATGCTTGCTCTGTGTTGATTTTTTCTTCGCTATGATCGACAGTTTTTCCGGAATTCTGTGATTTTTCTTCTCTCTAACGATTTTCTTCGTTGTTTTCTTAGAAGTGTATGGATGGATTCAGTTTTTCTACTAGCTAGAAATCTATGAGTTATAGCTGAATTTCTGCGATTTTATGCTTGTGTATGATCGACGGCTCTTCTGGATTTTTTGCTCGTGAATTTTCGTGTGCATAGTTCTTCTCGTTGTGCTTTTCTCTTTGCTCTTCGTTCCCTTTCTGAAAGTGTATTGGAGTCATGGATACACTTTTTTTATTATCTAAGGCTATAGCTGAAGTGCTGCGGTTTTATGTTTGCTTTGTGTTCTCTAGCTTTGAGATTTTGTCTTCGCTATGGTCGACGGTTTGCTTGAATCTTGATCTAGAATTCTTGTGAATTTTTGTTCTCCTTGCGCTCTTTTATCTAATGATTTTCTTCCCATGGATTTTTATGCTTGCTTTGTGTTCTTTGCTGCTGCTGAGAAATTTTTCCTTCACAGGCTGTAGCTATCAGCAGCCCAGTTCCTGAGGGATTATATCCGCTTCTAACAATTCTATTCCTCACTGTTGGCCTCGTCTTGACGGCGAGTTTTTTCATGTAAGTCCTTCACTTTGTGATGTGATCTGAGTGCTTATATATCGTTCGCAGATATGAGATCACAACTTCTAGCCTCAGTCGAAGCTTCCCACGGGAGATTTTGACCGGAGGAGCGTCATCGATTTTCCTGGTAGGAGTTTCATGTTTTATTTTCGATCTCTAGCCTCACAAACACGAGCATTGTTTGATTGTAGGGACTTGGAGCACTGTTTCTACTTCTTTCCACTGGAGTTTATGTCTAGTAGTATGAGAAGCGCTTTGCCGCGTCGCAAGAACAAATCACCGTAGAACAATCACTCTCCCAGGCGTGGAATTTATCGTCTTTGGGAACTTTAACTACGTTATCTTGGGTTTTAATGGTTCTTCCTTTCTTTGTTGCTCGGCTTTGCTCACTTTGGCAGGAAGCTTCGTCATGAATCCACATGAGGCACATGAAAGCGAGCCAATTCAATGAGATCGCGCAAAAGAATTGGGTGAAAATGACAACGCTGTCCAGCGGTACGAGAACTGTAGTAAGAAGATTTCTCCATTCGTTTTTTTTCATTGTGAAAGAACATGGGACGCAGTGACAAGGTTTGGATTTTGAGCCAGGTGACGAGTCAGAACGTTTAATCACAAACAAACGAACCAGGAATCGAAAGAAAAATTCGAGGGGGATAAGAAGGTACGCTCTTTCTTTTGTTTCTATTCTTGCCTGCTTTACTTCTTGCATGAGTTGTACACCACATCTCTCAAGTCTGTAAAGTTCTTTCTTTTGTTACTCTTTTAAATCAGTTCCATCCTTTCCTGTGAATTCTTATACTTGATTGCCAAGCATTGTTTTCGTAAAGTTCTTTCGAGTAGGCTGGAGCTGTGCTCCTCTGGAGTCTAGTTCTAGTTGGCCCTGCGTGTGATATTCGATCAAGATCTAGCGACTGTTTCACTCATCGAAACTTTCCAGGACTGTAGCACACACCAGAGATAATAATTCACCACCACTGCGAAAGCTCTCCATCGATCACGGGAGTGGAATCTCATGGGTGGAATCATGCCTCCCAAGCTCCACCAAAAGACACACACGAGGAGGCCCATCTTTGTCACCCATTGTTCCTTTGTCCACAAGCAAGCGAGCACGGACGGTAAGCGCATTTGGATTTTTTAAGTAGCGCACACTCGAATGTCGATGGTTGTCATTAGCTAAGAATTCCATTAAGCTAGCAGGGATTTCCATTTGATCGTGTCGAGCTCGTCCAGTCTTTTAAAATTGGATTTTTTTTGGTGATAGGCAAAGGAGTTAACGCATCACGTCAGTGTTCTTGGCGTTTCTTTCTCGAGAGCGACGCCAAGGTTTGGTGTCACGGAATTCCACAATGGAGAAAACCATAGCTTATCTTCGTATAGTTTTTTTCGATGTTCTAACGAACGAACGTGTAAGTTGGAAGAAACCGATTATGACACAAGGATCGATCCATCGATCGATCTGTCGATCACAAAAAGAAAAGGAGAAAAGAAAGAAAATGATGTAAAGTTTGGAATGGTGCATTGGATCCAACGCACTATTCTTTGTGTGTGAATGTAGCGTCTAGCTAGTGGAGAGAAATGATACCCCTTGCATTGCTTTGTCTAGTAACCATAGCAAACACAAACCATGGAAAAATCTTTGTATGCTAGCTTTTGCAGGTGTCACGATGCCAAGCATTAATCACTGATTCGGAAATATTCCTAAAATATCTACGCTTAAAAAATAATATTTGAGTTTAAACTTATATAATTTGAGAAAAATACAAAAAATAATGTGACAATTGTCTTGAAAAGAATTTGTATAGGAAAGAATTTATAATGTACACCGCCTCTGGAAGACCCTCGATTTTGGTGCTTTTTCGCGGGGTCAAAAAGAATGATCGATATGAAAGAGCTTATGAGAGACCAGGCCGGGAGAAAGAGAGAGAAACGCACAAAACCTGTGTTTGCCGAGGCACGATGAAAGGGGGAAAAAAAAAAAAAATCTCTCCAGTGCCCAAAAATGCTGCTGCTGCTGCTGCTATGATCCAATTTGATCTTCGCGCGAAAGAACTATTGCTCGTGAGAGCTGGGATCCTCGTTGCTGTGATCTCGTCCCTGGTGATGATGATGCTGACCATGGTGCTCGCCTAGATCTTGGTGGTGTTGATGCTGCTGTTCTTGCTGTTGCGTCATGTTCCTCGTGTAGGCGCTCAGCGCGCTCAGCATTCCCAGATGCCCGTGCTCGATCGAGGACGAGGAGGCCGGCATGGAGGAGAGCACGTACGAGGACGATGGCTGCTGCATCGAGCTCAAATTCATATGCCCCAAGAGGTGGTGGTGGAGATTGTGGCTGCCCATTGCCGGATTCGAGGAATTGGAGTTGGAATTGCTGGAATCCATGGCCGAGAGCGCCGAGCTTGGTAGATCCAATCCCCCAGCCCTAATAAACATCTGGGACGACGCCGGGGAAGGGAACCACACTTGCTGCTCGCTCGCGGGCAGCATCCAAATGGCGGGAGAGTTCCATAGCGCCGGAATATGCCCTGGTTGTGGGGACGGTATATGCCCCTGCCGTCTCCCGCCGTCCGGGTCTTCTTTGAGCTGGTGGCCTAGCAGCATCGGAATAGACGGAATGTCCGCCCGGATCCTCTTGCCGAACCTCCCGCCCTGATCGTCGCCGTCCTCTCCATCCGGATCCAACGGCCGGGACTCGTGCTCCGCGGAGGAAGGCCCCAGCTGCTGGAACGCCATGAGCGGGTGGTGATGGGTTGGATCGTAGCCAGCGGGTGCCGACAGGCCCGATCGCTCCACGCTGGATGCCGCCGGCGGTGGCGGCAGTGCCGGGCTGTACACGCCGCTGGCCGCGGTGTAGCCCAGCGGCATACCGCGCGACTCGGCGGTGCTGCCGCGCGGTACCTGGTCGATGGTGCTGCTGCCGCTACGCGAGAGCCCAGCCATGCCGTGCGGCTTACCGCGCAGTAGCAGCCCGCCGCTTTGCATGGCCAGCGCGGGGATGGTGCCGGTGCCCGTAGCGGCGATGATGGCCTGCTCGGAGTGGCGGAGCAGCCACTCTATCGTCTCGCCATCGGATTTGTGACCTAATTCCCGCGTGAGTTGGAAGATCCGCGCGGCGCACGTCGCGGGCATCCGGATCCGCCGCCCCCGCCCCTCCACCTTGGTGTGGCGGTCTTTGTTGGAGGATCTCTTGGGCGGCGGCTTCTTGGGCGGCGGTGGCGCGGCCGGCGGCGCCGCGCCACCGCCGGGGTCCTGGATCGAGGATGTGGACGACGAATCCATGGAGTTTGCTGCTCGCATTTCCTCCTCCCTGGGACCCCAGCGATCGCGAATTCTCGCGAATTCTTCTTTCTGGCCTGTGCTGGATGCTGGAGCCCCCTAATCTATGCCCTGCCCGACTGCCGTGCCCACCAAGCAAGCTCTTTGCCCAGTCCCCGGAGAATTCTATCGCTCTCGCCCACCAAGCTCTTGTCTAGACCTGGAATTGTGTCGCTCTCCCGGGGAAGAGGGAGCGATCTTAGATTCTACTTTAGTTCGTCGCTATAGATTCCGGCGATGGAAATTCTTCGCCCCCGCGATCGTGGTGCCGCCGCCATCCGCCACAATGAGGAGCCACCTAAACACCATCAAGGAACGAGGAATTCCAGCGCCAGGGAGAAGAGAATTGCCAGCCAAGGATCGAGGAGGAAGTGACGAGCGCTCAAGAGCAATCACTCACTGGTGGAGGAAGGGCGCGGCATTGTGGTGGCAGGAAGAAGGATTTGGGCAATTGGCGGTGGTGGAGAGAATTTAAAGCGGCGACGCTGCCACACAGATCTATCATATACCAGCGAGACTGCGACGCGGCGGCGATGGATAATCACGGGCCATGGGAGGGATGGGCTCCTCTCGACGAAGAAGAACTGGCCCGAGGTTACAATCTAGGAAGAAGAAGAAGAAAGCGGAGCTTCCTAGAGAGAGCGAGTGATCCACAAGAGGGGAGGAGAAAAAAAACAAAGAGAGAGTGAGAGAAAGAGAGAGAAAAGAAAGATAGAGGGAAAAGTGGGGACCCCACGTTCTGTCCTCTTTGTTGCATTGCTCGCCTGTTCATCGCTGCTCCGGGATTAAATTAGGGTTTCGCTGCCCAGGATTTTTTTTCAATTCGCATCCAGATCACCCGCGAGAGAATTAGGGCTCGTGTCACTCTGACGTGGCAAAAAAGCCGGCTGACGTGCCAGGACACGTGGTGGATCCGACGGCTGCTGTCACCCGATCGGACGGCTCCCCGGGGAGACGCGGCGCCGCCTGCGCGGCGCATGTGCGGGTTCTGACGCAGGCGCACGCGGCCCATCATGAGCCTCTGCTAGCAAAAAAAGAAAACACTACCGGAAAAATACTAAGAGAAATTAAAAGTTTGAAAAGATTTTTGGCGCGCAGTGGGCGGGGACGGCCGGATGCGTCCGGCAACGGACGATGTGCACACGTGCCACGATGACGCCACGCTGGCGTCAGGGCACACGACGTCGGCGGTTTGCTCGCTCTCTTTCTCTTTAAACGTTTTTTTTATAAAATTTTCTCGTTTTCCCGCCAGCCCACGTCGGGCGAGATTGCGAGCTTTTGTTTCGTCGCTACGTGCTTTCTCTCTTGGCCAGCTACTATGGTTTTTCGGACATGATCAACGCCCGAAAGAATAGCTACCCAATCTTATCTATGAAATCAAGGATGAAATTTCTCTGTTCTCGTTCTTTTGTCACCAAGCAAACAAAAGTCTTGACACACCAGTTATTCAAAGAGCTTCCATTTTTTTCATTTCGCGAGAGTAGCATTGGATTGGACTGGTAAGTATATAGTCCCCCTCTTCTCTATCGAGAAAGCAATAAGGAAATTCCCAGAGTGTGTAGCGTAGCGTCACCAACAACATTAGCTACTGTGGTGTTGATCATCTCTCTCCCTCCACAGTGAAAAGAAAAGGAAAGAACAGGAAAAAAAAAAGCCAAAAGCGAAATCACACAAGGAAAATGACCTCAAGTGCATAGCACGCTAGAAGACTTGTGATTAGAAGAGACACTGGTGAACAGTAGCGAGAAAAAGAGAGCGCGCGAGAGAGAGAGAGAGAGGAGGCCCCAGAATGAACAGAGAAGAGAGGAAGTAAAAAAAAGGAGAGCTTTTGCTGGTGCCACTCGAAAATTCGTCTCACGCACGCATTACCTCAGGTTCGGGCTTGCCAGTTATCTCTCCTTTGGACGCATCCTCAACTGGATTCGCAACAACACATTTAGTTGAGGATAGGTTCGCAGGAACAGAGAAAAGAAAAAGAAAAAAACAGAAGTTTCACGAACCTCCGTCTTCCTGTAGATCCGACGTCCACAGCGTCAAGTTGTCTCTGAGAAGCTGCATGATCAAAGTGCTGTCCTTGTAGGATTCTTCGCTGAGCGTGTCCAGCTCCGCGATCGCATCGTCAAAAGCTTGCTTGGCTAGCTGGCAAGCGCTGTTGCAACAGCGAAACAAAGCCACAAAGTCAGTTGAAGTGGAGAAAACTAAAAAGAGGACGAGGCGCTCTCACCGATCTGGCGAGTTGAGTATCTCGTAGTAGAAAACTGAGAAGTTCAGTGCCAGCCCAAGCCGAATTGGATGCGTAGGAGGCAGATCGGTCGAAGCAGTATCAGTGGCGGCCTGAAACAACGCACACCCAAAACTTATAGAAACCAAAACAACGATCACGCAAAGAGATTTGCGAGCTTACCTGGTAAGCCTTGAATGATTGATCGGCCGCCTCCTTTCTTTCGTTACCGGTCTTGAACTCCGCGAGATAACGGAAGTAGTCTCCTTTCCTGTTGATAAGAACAAGTCAAGACCCAAAAGGACAAGAGCAAAAAAAAAAAGAAAAGTATCGCTACTCACATCTTGTAATAGAACACCGTAGACTCCCCGGTGCTAGATGCGGGGACTAGATGCTCGTCGATGATGGTGAGAATGTCATTGCAAATCGTGGAGAGCTCGTCCTCTACCTTCTGCTGGTAGTCGCCGATCCGCTTCACGTTTTGCTCGTTGCCTTTGCTCTCCTCCTTTTGCTCGATCGAGGACAAGATCCGCCACGACGCTCTCCGTGCGCCGATAACGTTCTTGTACCCCACGGACAGGAGATTTCGCTCCTCCACGGTGAGCTCCACATCGAGCTTGGCGACCTTCTTCATGGATTCGACCATTTCTGCGGGGAAATAGACAAGAGTCACGCACAGATCCGAGGAATCGAAGGCGCGAGATTATCGCATCGATCCAGGAGCTCACCGTCGTAGCGCTCTGCTTGCTCGGCAAGCTTGGCCATATAGACAAAGCATTCGCGCTCCTTCTCCATTCCCATGGCGCCGTCGACGATCTGCGATCCGAAGCTCCTGGCTATGGCGGAAGAACAAGGGTTTGCAGGAAATAAACAGGGGGTTTTAATATTCGCTGGATAGGGATTCGAACCCGCGCCATAAGGGTTACGTTTCAGCCGTTGGATCGGGCGTCGATCCAACGGCAACGAGATGACATGGAAGAACCCTAAAAAATCACACATCGTCTTCCAGCCGGAGGTACTCTCCCACATCCGCCTGGTGCAGGGCGACGATGTCGTTTGGATCCAGCTTCCTGCAATCGTGCGTGGATTTCGCAGCCAGCCCGAATCCCAGCGGCACATCGGACATGGAATAGATCACAACCCCTTCGTACTGCGGGGTGTTCTCGGTGATCCTTCCAAGTCCGCTCTTGAGGACGTGATTGCCGTAGAGAAAGGACATCTCCGCCGAGGGCTTGAGCCAAATCTTGTGCTTGGAATGCGCCGCCAGGAGATCGAGGCAAGTGATGGTGAGATGGAATTTGCCGCTCTTGGTGTATTTGCCGATGCAAGTGCCCAGCGAGACGAGCTTCTCCCGCGACACATTGGTGGCCTTCTTGACGAGATCCTCGCTCACGTAGTAGACGCGCTGCTTGTGGAGGCGAAAGCAATACCTGCTAGATGTGATGGCGTCCTTGCGCTCCACGATCTGCCGGAGATTGGCGCCCACGAATTTGTGGAGCTTCTCAAACACCACCGTCGTCTCTTGCTCGTCCAGTGGCCTCATTCCCGCGAGCAAGAACCCTAAACCCAGGTTTTACGAGGCCTCGAGTTCGATTCCTTGGGCGAGACCGATTCGCGGTAAAATAAACGTAGGCGGTCTGGGGATCGATTCCTTGGGCGTACAATCTTAACGAGGTCTCGGGATCGATTCCTGGGGTGAGACCGATTCCAGGTTCGAATCCCTGGGAAACAATAAAAAATGTAGGGTTTGTACTCTTTAGATTAGACGCAATGAAAGCATGCAGCTGATCGGTCGAGATGGAGCGCGGCCGGAATCGCGGCGCTGCCAACGCTGCGGCATCGCAATCGCAATCGCAATCGCAATCATCTCCAGCGCGCGCGTCGGCGTCGAGGTTGAATCTCTCTGTTGCGTGTGTTTGGATGGGGAATGCGATTTCTGCGTGGATTCCAGGCGCAAGGATGGAGCTGGAGGTCGGCTGGGGAGTCTCCAGAGCGCTCTAGGCCGGCATGTCGACAGGGCGATCTCGGGAATCCACAAGCTCGTGAATGAGAGCCCCGAAATACAAGCGCTGAGGTCTTCTAGACAGGTATAGTGCGTGAAATCTCTTAAATCTTGTGCTGATGCTAGCTAGATTTCTTCCAGAGCGCGAATGGAGAGCTCCCAGGCACCGATTCCACATCATCCAGCGACGAAATCTCTTGGAAGGATTTGTATCGGATAAACTGGACGCCAAAGGAGCTGCGAGTGAAATTCCGGCAGCAAATGGAGGGGTACCAGCTTGGTGCCAACTTTGAGGTAGTAAGAGATGAGGTACTAGAACATAAAAAAGGATGGAAGTCAGTAGAGCGCTCCTTCGATTTTCTTTGGTCCTTTGATCTGCTAAAAGCTTTTTCTTTGGTTTTGCCACAGTTTGATGGGATCCAAGAGCACGGGTGCAACACCAAGATCGTGCTCAAGCCCGTCGGGAACGATCCAAAGTGGAAGCTCATGTTTGAGCCCAAGCAAGGAGATATCCGGCTCATCACAAGGAAAATCCCGATTGGACCGCTCCTAAGTTTCCAGGTACGAATATCTTCCAAGAGTAAGTTCTTATCGACTTTGCCTTCTCCCAGGTTGGGCTAGGACACGACTTTCGCAGCAGAAAAAGTGGCTGGAAATGGAGAGTGACATCGTCCCTGGGCGATTGTTGGCCAGCGCAAATCAAGCAAAAGACAAGACTGGCAATCTGTCCCGGGTTTGATGTTAGAGTTGGATGGAACGCGGAATACGTCCTACCCGATGTTCATGGGTGAGTACTCACTCTTGCTTTGTCTTCTCGCCATTAAAAGCTTGGGGGAATTTTGTGACAGGTCCATGGGAGTGGGAGAACCTCCGGTGGGATTGGATCTGGGACATCTCAGTGCATCGCTAGATCGAGTGGAAGCCATATTCACGCACGCAACGTGAGAGGTATAGCTTGTAGGTACGAGCATTCTTTCTGTACAGTAAATTCTTTGTGGTCGAAGTTACGTAAAGAACGAATCGGCGCAGCTAGATTTTTCCAGGCACTGCACGCTTTTGTAAGTGAAAACTTCTTTAGATTTCCTGAGGCTTATTTACTTCCCATGGTTTTGTTAGCTTGTTCAAATCAAAGAACCTTTACACCTGCCTCCACTGTGAAGTAGACTCCACCAACAGGGAAGCCGAGAGAGTACTCGTCCGAGAACTTACGAACGCTGAATTGCTGCCTTCTCGTGATCTTGCCAGCCGTGATCTTACCCTTCTGCAACGCGAGGGTGAGCCTAGAATCATAGAGTTCCCGCTAGAAACTTGGAGAGCAATCTAGTACCTGCTTGAAAACGAGAATGTAGTAGCGATGGACACCCATAGGAGGCGAAGGGCCAGCATAGGAGGCCGTGTTTGTACCGTGCTTGAATACATCTAAGTGTTTCGCAATCTAAGTTCCTGGAATGATAGAAATGAAAAGAAAAGATAAGTACCTTTTGTTCCTGTCGGAATGTTTGTGACGATCCAGTGCAAGACGTTCCTGTAGATTGGTTTCTCGGGACTGACAGCATCCGGATCCACCATAAGTAGCGTGAAGAGATCTCCTTTCTTGGCGTGGATGTCTGAGATGCTCACCACTGGAGGCTTTTGAGTATCAGCTTGCTTGAACATCTGGCCCGTGGTGGTGACTGCTCGAGAGCCGAAAGTGGCCGAGACCGAAACGTAGGGGCTGTCATAGGAATCCACCCAGGCTGGAATGATAGTCTGGAAATTGATGTCCGGCGAGCTTACGTCCAGCAAAGATCGTGCTGCCGATGCTGCTGTGTGAGCCTCTACAAGGAAGATCGCCGATGCTACTAGAGCAGCGAGGAAAGTCGCCATTTCCCCGTAGTGCTTACGACAGTCCTCGAAGAAAAATCTCCTCTTTAGAAGGCCGTCGGATGAAATGGCCACGATTGAGATTCGGACTGTTACAGATATAGCAGCTGATCAGATCCTGTAACGAAATGCTTGACTTTTACTTCTCGTAAGAAGGAAAAAGAAAATGGTACCTCAAGATTTGTAGCCAAGGAACGAACCTCCACGGACTTTGCAGCCACTGAGAAAGTAGAGTACCAAAGATAAGTAGGTGTGGGAGAACTCGTACCGGGCCAGCTCGAGCAAATACGTGTCCGTCACACCGGACGCTTGACAAGATCCTTGGACTCTTGTTCTCTTTCAGCTCTCGCGAGTTCATCCACGAGGAACTTGATGATAGCAGCGCTGGGAGTAAGCACCTTCTTCATCTCGGAGAGAACTCGCACAGCTCGGTCGGTCTGTCCCAGCCGACAGAATCCTTGAATCAGAATGTTGAAAGTAGCCTCATTCACCACGAACTCGTTCCTCTTCATCTCCCTGAGAAGCTCGTAAACCATCTGAAGGTTCCGCGTCCTGAAAAGTCCTTTCAAGAGGGTGTTGTATGCAACTATGCTTTGGATTCCCCACTTGCTTTTCAGCTCCTGGAGGACGTTACGGGCCTCCTCCACCTGATCCTGGTTTGAGTAAGCAGCGATCAGGCCAACGTACCAGAGTTCGTCGGGGAAACAACTGGTGTGGCTTATCAGCCTTCGAAGGACCACATGAGCTTCGCTTGGCTTCCCTGCTTTGAAGAGAGCGTTCAAGAGTGTGCTGTACGTACCAACTGAAGGTTTGGAACCGAGCCTCACCATTTCCTCAAGAAAAGCCATGGCTACGACGGCCTTATCTTGACGACACATCGCTCCGACCAGAGCGTCAACTGTAGAGCCATCCGGCTTGATTCCTGCTCCGATCATATCTTCAAGTAGCTGACGAGCTTCCGCTAAGTTGTTCTCTTTGCAGAGGCTCTCGATCACAGTCGCGTAGAAAAAAGCCGTTGGAGAATTCCCCGTAGCAAGAACGACGCGAAGAACACGTTGAGCTTGCTCAAGACAGCGGAGGCTGGCTATGACAACGTTGCAGCTTGTTTCACTGATTTCGATTCCCTGTTCCAGTGATCGGACGTAAAGGTCACATGCTTCGTCTGTTCTGCTCCATCGGCAAAGCCCCACTATCAGTGTTCCATACGTGACACCATCCGGTGAGCAGCCTCTTTCAGTCATCTCCTTCACGCGCAACTTTGCATCACAGAGTCTGCCCGTCTTGCACAGCCCGTAGATGAGGGAGTTGTAGACAGCGAGATTTGGTTGGCAACCGTTCGCAACCATACTGTCGAAAACAGTTGAAGCAGCATCCAACTCGCCTGCTCTACAAAGCCCAGAGATGACAGAGCTGTAAACTGGAACTTTTGGTAAGATTTTCTTGCCAACCATTTCTTCCAGATACGAGTGGGCTTCGGATGCTCTTCCAGCGTTGCAAAGTCCTCGGATGAGAGTGCTGTAAGTCACTACATCGGGATGTTGTCCTGCTGTGACCATCTCTAGAAAGAGCTGATAAGCGTCGTTGACACGGGCGGCTTTGGAAAAGCCATCGATCAGGGTGTTGTAGGAAACAACGTTGGGAGTACAGTCATCTTCATTGCGTAGAGTTCCCAAAAGGTCGCGAGCCTCGCTCAGCCGCTTTGCTCTACAAAGACCAGCAATGAGGATGTCATAAGTGAAGATGTCTGGAACAAAATCGTTACTTTTCATCTCCTCTAGCAGCTCGTATGCCCTGTCAATCTCTTGCAGCCTGCAGTGTCCATGAATGAGCGTGTTGTACGTAAGGTTGTCGCCCTGGTAACCCTTGCGTTTCATGTCCTCGAGAAGATGGTAAGCTTTTCCCATATCACCGGCTTTGCAGTGTCCACCGATGACTGAGGTGTAATTCGCGAGCGTCGGGACCGGCATCTCCTGGAGAACCCGTTCCGCTTCTGCTACTTTCCCAGCCTTCACGAGGCCATTTATAACCACCGTGTAAGTCCAGTTGTTTGGAATCGCGGTATGCTTCATCTCTTCGAAGTAGTAGCAAGCCTCGTCGACTCTGATCGCCCTGAAAAGCCCGTCTATGAGAATAGTCCACGTCGCAGCACACGGAATGCTGGACATTTTCTCAAAGTAGCGGAGTGCCAACTCTAGATTCCCGGACTTGCACAGCGCGTTGAGAAGAAACTTGCACGTAAGAACCACCGGCCTGAGTCCTCGATCCACCATCTCCTCATACAGACTACACGCCAGCTTCAGCTTTCCAAAGTTGCATAGCCCCCGAATCAGTATACCATAGGTGATAGAATCGGGTATAAGCTCCTGCGGCCACTTCTCCTTGAAAAGCCTGTATGCTTCCTCACACTGGCCAGTCCGGATGAGAGCCTCGTAGAAACAATTGTATGTGTGGACAGTGTGCCTGAAATCCTGCCTCGTTCCAGCCCAGCCGAAGAAAACCATCGCGGACTCTCCATTTTTCACCATATGTAGAATCACCCCCACGAGTCTCTGCGAGAGCTGGCCGTTCCATTTCATCGAGAATCCTAATCTGGAGCTGCTCTCGACGATCTGGAGGAGCTGACGCACGTCCCTACGTTCTTCTAGAGTTAAAGCCCTGCTACTTCCATTGCTACTGCTACTAGCTACCTTATTCACCGCGAGCGAGCAAAACGTACCGATTCGATTGGAGCGAAGCGCTCGGAGGCCGATCGATGACGATAATCCGACGCCGCGGCCGCATAATCTACACCTTCCAAGAACTAGCTGCAAGGATTTGAAGCCGGATCTTCGCAGGCGCCCGGCGGAGGCGCATTTTCCAGCTCCACCGCCGGGAATTCTAGGCGCGCAGTGATCTAGATCGTGGAAGCTGGATTGAGCGCCGCCGCTGGAGAGCGCATTCATCCCTGGCTCTTGCCGCCCTCTCTCCCCTGTTATTAGGGCTAGCACAGCGTTGTAAGATCTCATCGAGTGAATAGGTCGTGGTAGGGTTTGGATGCGGCGATAGCGATAGCGATAGCGCGACGATTTGGGATCGCGGCGATGCTGCGAGGGCGGATTGGAGGCCAAGACGAGGAGGACGTGGAACCGGCACTGGACGGGCTCGCTACCGCCGCTGTGGCCGATCAAATCGTCCAGGTATTTCTCCATCGGGATCGAATGTGAGCTGAAATCGAGTGTTTCGATCATGGCAGAGGCTTGCTGGATCGGGATTTCCAGAGGATTTGGCGAGGAGGCAGCGGCAGGGATTCGGCGAGTATGTGAGGGAGCATCCGGCGGAGCTGCGGCGCTTGGCGACGGTGATTCTTCCGGAAAATCCAGAGGTGGAGCTCTTGACGCCGGAGGGCAGCGATGATAGCCAGCTACTCTCGGCTCGCCAGGCCATCCAGGCTCAATGCCGGGAGGCGCTGGGGTGGCTGTTATGGTGCGCCTTTGACAGGGATTTAGCGTCCGGGCTGGAAGAGGTGAAGGCACAGTGTGGCGCTAGAGGCGTGTGTGGAGCAGTATGGGGGGTGAACGACATAGCTTACCGGTGCCACACTTGCGAGCACGATCCAACTTGTGCTATCTGTGTACCGTGCTTTCAAGCTGGCGATCACAGTACGCACGACTACTCGATGATCCGGACTAGCGGTGGATGCTGCGACTGCGGTGATGGTACTGCCTGGAAGGAAAGTGGATTTTGCTCGAGACATCGGGGACCCGGGAAAGTCCCTCCACTGTCCGAGGGTATGGTGGCTCGGTTGGGTCCGGTGCTGGAGGCAATGCTGCTGGAATGGAAGGACAGGCTCTCGGCTGCTGTGACGGCTTCTTCCGGAAGGCCTAGGAAGTGGTCGACTATGAGCCCGGAGGAGAAGCTTGCGTCGCCGCTGTCGATGAGTATTATCAGCTTGCTGCTGGAGTTTTGCAACTGTAGCGAAAGTATGCTGAGCTTCACGGCCGAGAAGCTGAGTAGCAGTGATATCGGCTTGCTCGACATCCTGCTCACTGCTGAGTTTCTTCTGCCGAAAAACGTCTATACGAAGCTGCATGAGTTGCTCTATAAGCTACTCGGGGATCCAAACTTCAAGTACCGGTTTGCTCAGACTTTTATCAAGCGCTACCCCAAGTTTCTACGTGAGTCTCTGCAAGAAGAACAGATGTTGGCAAGGCAGCCAAGGGAGCACAGCATACTTGGCAGCTTCTCGGTACAGATCTTCACCGTGCCGACGCTCACTCCTCGTCTTGTAGTAGAGTGGAAGCTCCTGGATATGCTCTTCGGCATACTGAAGGATTTCTTTGTGTCCTGTATCGGCGACGATGGACGGTTTGTGGTAAGGCATGCCTTTGCTTTGGGGTCGGTTCTAATTTCCTGTGCTTTGCTGACAGGTTACTAGGCCTGCCATCCAAGAGCGTGCATACATGCGAGCAGTAGAAGATGTACGTTATGTTATGAGTCACTTGAAGGTGGCGCAGTACATAATACACGAATTTCCGCAACTGTGCAGGACGTGGTTGCACTTTTTGGCTTTCATCCAAGGTATGTATCCCCAGAAGAGAATCACAAGTATCCACATCGAGGAAGAGAGTGAAGACTGGGTTGCTGCATTTCTCTTGGAAACACAGATGGCCAACATCCACCGGCTGTTCGTCGCGGGTACATGTCTTACGGGAAATGATACAAGTTGGGGAAGTGATACCCAGGCGCAGGGTGGTATACAGGTTGGTATACAGGGTGCTGTAGCAGCCGGAAGTGAAGAGCACAGCACAGAGGCCTTCTGCATTGTGGAAGGCGCGAAGCTTTCTAAAGCGCTCATCTGGTTGATAGCTGAATGTGTTGGTGTTCTCGACCTTTGGTTTGCTGCGGATCAAGCAAGAGAAGCTGGCAAGGCCGCCAAGCTTGCATCTGGGGCGGCCAGAGGGGACGCTGGGCTGAGAAGAAAGATTCAACCGCGTGTAAGGCTAGCTCGGGGGATGACGCGTGATCGGCAATTCACAAACGCTGTCAGGCACAGGGACTACACTTCAAGAAGAAGTCTCGAGGCTGTTAGAGCAGTACCTGAAGCTGCAGAGCCAGCGTCCGAGGCTAGCGAGATGGACATAGATGGATCATCAGATACGAGTGAGACGAGCGAATGGTGGTGGATGGGAGCATCTTTGGAACCCGAGGGAACGTCTTCGAGTTTGCTGACGGGAGATAACGAATGGCCGGCCTTGGAGTTCGATGTTGGCAAGCAAGAGGTTTCGTTTCACATCCCGCTTCACAGAATGCTCGGTCTCCTGCTTCAGAAAGCTCTGGAGGAATACGAGTCCCAGATTAGTGCTTCTCCTCCGACCTCTCCCTCTGGCACTCTACTGCAGCTATTTCCCGAAGCTTTTCGTGTTACCGGACTGCCAGCTTTGCTGATGGAACATCCTCTTCGAATTCAGGTGTTATGCTCTCAAGTACATGCTGGGATGTGGCGTCGTAATGGTCACTCCATTGTAGGCCTCTGCGACATCTATCGTGCCGTGCCATGGTCAGTGGAATGGTTAGTGCGACTTGCTAGACATCCATTTGCAATTGACTTTATATCTAGCAGGTGTGAAGACAGTTTAGAGCTCGACCTGTTCATGCTGCAATGCTGCGCGTCCATGGCGCCCGCGGAAGAGTTTGCGGGACGAGTTTTCACTTGTTTCGGCCTTGCAGAGTACTTCTCACTGTACTTGTGGAAGCCGAATGAGTAAGATTTTAACTCTGCATATATTTTTTTTCACCCGACATTTTTTTTCTTTTTGTTGAAACAGATACGAGCCAGTCCTGGCACAAGAGATGTTAGTTCTGCTCATTCGTATTATTTCAGAACGTGGCTTCTGTGGTCTTTCGCCGAAAGAATCGTTACGTAGGGAACTTATTCAACGCCTGGCAATAGGGGATGCCTCGCACAGCTCCCTGACGAATGCATTGCCTCCGCGGCTTCGAGATAATGAGCATATGCAAGAAACGTTGGAAGCAGTGGCCAACTATAAAAGACCTCATGGCATGCAACAGGTATGAAAGGATATTTTGTCTCTACGTACTGTAACATTGGTTGGCGCGTTTCCTGCAGGGTAAATATGTCTTACGCGAACAGAGCTGGCGAGAGCTAGACCTTTATCACCCTCGATGGACACCTCGAGAATTACAGTCGGCTGAAGAACGCTACTTACGGGCATGCAAGGCATCGGCACATTTTTGTCAACCACCTCGCTGGCGTAAGCCATTTCTACCATTACAGAGTCTTTCCAAGATCGCTGTGTCGGCCAAGGTTCATGAGATATTGCGAGCTCTCTTTTTCCACGCTGCTTTCTCGCCGAACCTTTCGGAGTCTCGGGCACCTGAAAGCTTATTATTTACTGCCCTTCACCTTTTATCACTTGGGCTTGACGTCTGCAACACTTTTGCCAACAAAAGCTCAGCGGAAGCTTCATCAGTCTCGGGGCCTTCTATATCATCTGTCGATCGTCCCCCGCTTCTAGCTCTCGCTCCGGAGTTTGTGCATGTTGGCGGGGCAGACGGCACGCAACTATTTGATCGGCAGAGCACTCTTTCGTTATTGGTGATACTTATGAGAAAATATATTGCAAGCGAAGGGGCGCAACTTATTATCTCTGAAACAAGCCAGTCCAACGTCGGCTGCTTCATCAAGAAACTGCTACACAACTTTGCCGAGCTAGACCGTCAGTGTATGTACGCGATCGAGTCACTTGCGCCGGAGATATTACATCGTGTATCCACCGACTCGTCCTCCAAGGCGGAGGGAACGTCGCAGGACGAACTGCAAGCAGAGCTTTCCGACATAGAGAAGAAACGAGCTCACGCTCGGGAGCGTCAAGCTGCGATGATGGTTTGTCTTTTATTTCTGCTAATATGGAAGTTTTCTTACTGCGCACTTGTGTAGGCGAAAATGAGAGCGGCTCAAGAGAAGTTCATGGCGAGTGTAGAAAGCTCGAAAAGTTCAAACAAGCTTGACACCAGTAAGACTGAGGGTAAACGTCCTCGAGAAACATTAGCTGACGATGACATGAATGAGACAGGCACACCTTTGTGTGCTTTGTGTCGCGACAGAAGTTCTACCAGCCCGTTGTGTATGCTGACTTTAGTCCAGGTAATCTCAGGGTAACCTGGCAATCCGGTTCCTGACTCGTGCTTTGAAATTTCGCAGAAGTCCAGGTTGCTTGCACTTTCGCAAAAGCCAGTTCCTTCTTGGGACAAACCTTCAAGAGTTGTGGACGATACTCCAACTGCAGAAGATGACAATAGCGCTTCCCAAACCTTGGTACGAAGGGAGGCGGAAAACTTGATTTTGGAACTTAGGCAGTGGCTCGAGGGAGCTGCGGCAGATCCGAACGTGGACAGGCTGACCAACCGCGACGATTTTGTTGAACTTCTTCGGGGAGGATTACCGAGTATACTCAACACAGAGCGGTTTCCGGCTACTACTAGTGGAATTGAGGTGGATACAGATGCAAGCCTCGATGATACCTATGGCGAGTCAAGCCATCCTGTCGATCCGAAATGGTGGTGGGAACTTGCGGAAATGGTGTCTAACAAAGAATCGACAGACAACAATGAGACTCTGATCACAGTTCTGGCTGAGTACGTGGCAGCGGTCTCTCGTTCACAATCTGAACTCCAGCCTCAACCGGAAGACCCTCCACGCGGGAACCGTCGCCGCTATGGTATAGAGAGCAAAGTCTACAGGGATGTCGGGCTTGATTTTATCGGACTGCACCTTTCTGCCTGTGGCCACGCTGCTCATTACGAATGTGTTGAGCGCTATTACGCTTCCCTACTACAAAGGTACGTTTTTTTCTCTCTCTCTCTTTAGTTCTTCTACCTAAACTTTGGTGGTGCTACAGGTATTACAGTAGATCCTTGTTCGAAGGAGTACAGATTGTGGATCCAGACCTGGTTCGTTATTTAGTAAGTTTTTGTAGCAACTATCTACATCTTAACTGTGATTTTGCAGGGAGAGTTCCTATGTCCGGTCTGTCGTCGGCTGTCAAACTCCATTCTTCCAGTTTTAGATCCCTCTGCACGAACTCCCTTTGTTGCTGACGCTGTCGAGGGGTTTAGACTGGAGCAAGCGTGTTCGTTAATGGTTAGCGCGCAAGAGCTGGTTGCCAGGCCCGGGTTTCGGAACTCAGTCTCGAGGAAACTCGCAGATCCGCTGAGGATGGTACTGGAGTCCGTGTCAAAGCGGCTTTCTGCGCTATACTGCCTGGAGAAGGAGAAACTTTACACTTCCGAAGGAAGAAACTGCCAAGGCTTGTTTCTCTGGGACTTGCTCCGGTACAGCATTATGTCCGCGGAGTTGGCAGCACGTACAAGGAGTCTCATCCTCGGTAATCATGATGCAGCCAGCAGATTAGTTGCTTTGGAGGAAGCGTCAGAGGCGTCACGCGGGTCTACTCTACCTTTGCTCTCTCTGGCAGCCAACTTAACTCTGACACACAGCCGGCAAATTGTTCTACTCAGGTCACGGGGTATGCAGCTGATGGTGGGATCAGTTTGTCATGGCACGTCTCTGGATTTCTTGTCCGAACCGATGTCTAAAGGTAAGATCACAGGCTTTTGGTTCGCATGTATTGACAGCTTACGTGCATGCAGGTCATTTGAGCTCTTTGTTACACTTTTTGGAAAAGGGCCGTGATTCGGCCGATATACAGTTTTGGAAGCGTGTGGCTGATCCTGTGCTTGCACACGATCCCTTCTCTTCCTTGATGTGCCTGCTTTACGTACTTCCATTGCCAATACCGGCACGGGAAGGACCGCTCACCGCACTCGTTCATTTGTTTTATTTAGTCTGCTTGGTTCAAGTAAGTGCAAGTATTTTTCTAGTTTTACGACACTAACACAGGCATCTCTTTCAGTGCTTGGCATCAATGGGAAGATATGTGGTGGATGATAGCGTTCCTGCGCATTTGCAAAACTTTCTAGCAGTCATCCATGCAACACTGGCAGACACCTGCATCGCACTTCAATCTCCGGAAGGACCTGTGACTGCGCCGCTACAGTTCGAACAGATTCGGCTCTTTACGTTGCCTTACCTCAGACGCTGCGCGTTGCTACAGACTGTGATTTCTGGTACTTCTCAGCCAGTGCCCGTTGCAGGGTCGAACAGCTGGGAGCTTTCAAATGTTTACAACCACCTCTCAAGCTCTGCTTATCGAGAGGCTGCCGAGAGCTCTAGAGACACAGAAGCTGTGGAGATGAAGGAGGTTGAGGAGCTGGAGAGACGATTTTCCATCCCTCCGATGCAAGCCATATTGTCAGAAGAGGCGGTGCAGAATCTCGTCGTCAAGTGGTGCCAACACCTTCAGAGTGAAACAGGCTCACGCAGCTTCTCCATCGTTCCAAGACCAGTGCGAGCGGTAGCTCTGCAGCTGATGGTTCTCCCCCGACTTTTCCAAGACCTGATTCAAAGGTGTTTTTTTTCATTCATTTTTCTGTTTTCTTCCGTGACCATCAACCTTGCGTTCTCAATTTTCTGTGTAGATATGTGAAGGAATGCTGCCCCCGCTGCAAAACAGTACCCGAAAGGCCGGTGCTGTGCTTGCTGTGTGGAAGACTATGTTGCGGGACTGGCACAAACGGTTGTTGCAGGTTTGTCCAGCTCTGATTCTTTCTCTCGCGTTCGTCTGATTGGAATTGCTTTCTTATTTGCAGCGTACAAATGCAAAGCGAATGCTATCGTCACGCTATTTCTTGCGGGGGTGGCGTCGGCGTCTATCTCATGCTCCGAGTAAGTATAGTTCTCCTCTTCGAGCGTGGCTTTGTCTAAGCTCTTGTTCTTTCCAGAAAACAAACGTTCTACTTCTCCGCCGCGAGCGGCAGACAATGTGGCCGTCACCATATCTAGATGCTTATGGCGAGGAGGTAAGCGTTTCCTCCACAGCTGCAAAACTTTTTCTCGACCGCACCGCCTACTTACATTTCCATTTCCAAAATTCAGGATCAAGACATGCGGAGGGGGAAGCCACTGTTTCTAAGTGACGAGCGTTACGCGGCCTTGACTGCGATGGTAAGCCTTCTTCGTTTTCTGTCGCTGGGCAAACTTGATTGATTTCCATTCCAGGTCGCGTCGCACAGCCTCGACTACAGTTCATCGGTGCTGGCTCAAACAATCCGCGAGCCACTGTTTTGATCGCTGGGGAGTGTGCCTAGGAGGAGCAAAATAAACTCCAAAGAGCAAGCACTTTGAGTGCCTGTTTTATTTGGCTTAAGCCCAATGTATTTATTTGTAAAATCTTAAACCCTCTCTTTTTTCCTTGGGTTGTTTCAATCTGAGCCATTGACATGCCACGTCAGCTGATCGATCTCGCCATGTCAGCATAGCGTTTGTATCCTAGAGTTTTATATCGTTCGTATGCTCGCAGGCTGCGAGGATTAGAGATGGAGACATGGTCGCAGCTGCTGGTTATAAAATAAGAGATGGTAAGTCTGTGTGACCAATGAGATGGTAAGTCAATGTGACCAATTCTAAGTCTGTCCACTTTTTCCTGCTCGTAACAGGCTCTGGGACAGAGGATGACACCATTCCGGTTTCGCGATTGTGGAGCGAAGTTTGAGAAATGCCGGATGCTGGATTCATGGCTTTCCATTCCAGTGTCTGGATCATCCGCCTTCCAGCCCGTTTTCGTGTCAAAGTCTGCGGCCTGGGAGGATGTAGCAGTGGCTTCCAATCTGTTTGGAATACTCGAGCAGTGTCTCGCCAACCGCAGTTCTCACCCCGGAGATACAGACCTCCCATTTGCCTCTAGCTTGCCACCATGGTACACCAGCGGCTACTCAGACTTCCCCACCGCATCGTGCCGCGTTCTCTGCAGGGTAGCTCCTCTCTCTTCCCGATCTCTCTTCTCCGGCGCTAGGGCAAGCGATCGCGAAAGAGTGAAGCATGACTCTTGTAGCGATTGTCGGTGGTGCGATGGGGATTTTGGGGTCTTTATTTGGTTTTGCGTTGCAGTGGTATAAGTTTCATCAGGTGAAAGCAGCTCAAGAACACCTTATCGTCATCCCCTATGTGACGCAAACGCACTGATTGTATGAAGATCTACGCAAGGGAAGGAGGCGTGGAGAGACTTACCGGTGGCCAACGATGACGAGTGACATCAGAGCTATAGGAATTACTAGAGATGGTCGCTCACAATGTGCTTCGCTACATCAGGTAATGTTTTAGTTAAAAATCCTTTTGAAAATATTTTGTGTTTGTAGGAATGGGCAAAGCTATTGGTGTTATCGGTTCTTTGCATACTTCTGGCACCACTTCAATGTGCTAGGGAAGGTTCACACCCTCACCGAGAAGAGCATTGCCATGATGCTTTTGAGAGATGTAAGGAATTCTTTCGCAACTGATCTGGTTGCATCTCCAATCTTCCATCTCTTTGGTGGGGAACAAAAGCTTATGGCAGAGTGTGTTACAAAGGACAACGGCTCACTTATGTCTTACCAAGAGTTCCTTGTAGCCAGTGCCAGTGATATGGATCTTTCTGCTCGGGTAAAATAACTCGAGCAGAACATCTCTCACCAATTTATGCAGGTTAAAATTGTTGAAGGATGGTTCCTTGCCCTGTGTTACCTACAGAGCTTGAGTCCATCAGATATTGCGCGCCAGGAGGTGGTAGCCAGAGTCATATGCATTCAGAAAGCGTTGAAGGAGATTTGCACATATTATGATCCACAACAGGTTTACCATCGCAAAAATGCAGGTTGGAAACCATCCGAAGGAGACTCTGTCGGACACGTTAACAGTGACTAAAGGAAGAAGTTGGTGACTATAGTGTAACGATGGAAGTTGCTATGTAAGTAGAATGAAAGATTAACTTCTGTTTACTATTGCATTCCAAGAAACAGGTACTAAATGGCACGATTGAAACATCCCTGAAGCTCAAGAACCTGCTGATAACAGCGACCTGCGGGCTTGGGAGGTCGAGGTAAATCCACTCGAGTCCTCGATATTTTCGTGCACATGAGTGTAGAGCACGGAATCAGGACTTTATCCCTCACGCAGAGTCCAACTGACTCGGATGTAGTTGCAGAGTGAAGAAGTCAGCTGCTGAACATCTGGTGTGTGGACCTTGGCCTGCAAACAGTCAAAGAGTTTGTCAATCTGGAATGCCAAAAGCATACAACTGAGAGCAAACGCTGTCATGGATAGTCGACTGCAAAGCTCGTTTGTTCCAATGTAAGTTTGGTTTTGTGTAGTGCAAGTAGTAAGGCCTGCAAAGTAGACAATTCAGTCTTTGAGAACAAAAAAATGCTTTGTTCCTTACGATTTTGTGCACGATGTGCAGGTGCTTGAGGAAATGGTACTGAATACTAAGCGCTGTAATCCACCAACCACGAACGAGGCCTGAAAGAAGAACGTGATCATGGCAAATCCCCATCTACCTTTTGCAGGACTTCCGCCAAGTAGTTTCAGTAAAACGATAGTGAGTATTCTTAGTGCATATATTCACTAATTTTTCTTCCGTGTGCCATGGACAAGTTGTGCACTTTGGTAGTTGTTCGTTCGACCAACAATCTGCCGTGAAGACAGGTTACAAGGAAGAGCAAAGAAAGAAACAAGAAAAGACGTACTTGTAGCCTGGAAGAGCTTGAGGCTGTTCCTATCCACCTGATCTCCAATGCCAAACTATAAACTCCAATATCCACCCAGGATTGTCTTGTAAGGATCAAACAAGCTCTCGGTGTGGTATTATGAAACGGTGTTGTGTTGTTGTTGGTTCATACATTGTTAAATGTATGAGTTTATCATGACGATCCTTGGCAGCGTCTGGATCGCTGACGTGGTCTTGCACTCCTCAAGGCCAACGTCTAAAGGAGCCTTCGTGAAGACTCCATGTTTGACACGAGGAAGTGGTTTCGAGAATGGGGTTTGTCAGGCAGAACTCCAGCTTGATCAGTCCTCTTTGGATCTGCTCTCGTATAAAGTAGAAGTGCAGCTCAATGTATTTAGTACAAGAGTGGAACCTGGAGTTCTTGGTCAAGGCTAGACTGGTTGTCACACAATAGCTTGACCACACCTGTGTTAATTTGTAGATTCTGGAGGAAGTCCCTTCAGCCACGCTGCTTCCTTGGTTGCAGCTGCTGCAATGTACTCAGCCTCGGTACTTGAAATCACTGTAATAGCCTGTCGTTTGCTGCACCAGCTTGCGACATTTCCATTTAGCAGGAAAACGTAGCCTGTGGTGGTTGACTTCCTGTTGTCTGGATCACCATCAGAGTAACCAGTCAGCTTATTGCTGCTCTCGCCTCTGGAGTACTTCAAAGTTGTACCTCGTTTCAAAGCCTGCCAGTGTGCTGCGGAGGGACGGTCCAAGTACTTCGCCACTGTGCCCAAAGGTCAGGCCGAGTGGAGATTACCAGGTAGATCAGGCTGCCGGAGCGACTAGATTGCTGGGGAGATTGATCAAGGTATCAGCAGATAGTAACAGGATTAACATGAGCAAGGCCATACCTCTGGAGCACGTCGGAAACATATTTTGCCTGGCTTAGCTCCAGTGTACCATTGCTTGAGTCCGTAGAGAGCTTTGTTAAGCTTGCAAACGAGGTGGCTTGATAAAACCAGGGGGCTGAGCCACATACACCTCTTCATTGATGTTGCCGTTGAGGAACGCAGTATAAACGTGAAGTTGATGGAGCTCGAGATCCAATTCTGCAGCTAAGATTAGTAGCATTCGAATGGTTGTGAGCTTCACCACGGGGCTGTAAGTCTCCCGAGTAGTCCAGCCCATGAACTTGAGAAAATCTGCGTGCCACAAATCTAGCCTTGTAGCGCTCCATCAGCGTTGTACTTTTTCTTAAACAATGAGACGAGCTTTCTGCGAGCTGGAAGTTCAACCAGCGACCAAGTGTTGTTTTTCTGGAGAGAATCATACTCCTCCTGCATGGCTTCCTGCCCGTGCTCAGCTTCTGGTCCGTGCAGAGCCGCCTGGGGACCGAGAGAGGCAGGTGGAGCCGTCATAGCCCAGAAGTAGGCACGCTTGCCTGTAGCCATCGCCTCCTTGGCCTTGAGAGATGGTTTCACAACACGACCCGAGCGTGTCACCACTGCTGTGCCGGCTGGAGGAAAGGAATGCTGCATCTTGATATAACTCTGTCGCCAACGAACAGGTCAGCCACGAGCGTGGAAAGATCTGGCTGTTCCAGGTCGTTGGTGCTTGAGGATGCAGCCGCTGTGGCCTGTGGAGTCGTCAGAAGAGGTGTCGAAGGAAGAGAAGTACCGTGATCAGCTCGTCCTGCCAGATCGCCTCCTTCGGGCGCTCCTTCAGTAACTTCTCCTGGCTCTGCATCGGCTGGATTGTCTGGTGCTGGGAGGAGAATTGGAACGGCATCCAAACTCTCAGAAAGATCCACCAGAGGTGGTGGAGAAACGGGAGGGAGTCTCAGGGTATCTCGATAAAGATCAAACACCACATCTCACCAGAGGCTTTTACCTGGGTGTGATAGCCCACGAAGATGCATTTTTCACTCTTGGGATCCACTCTGGCTGGATCGGCTGAGCATGGACTACCCCTCCCACCCAGCCGAAACAGATGGAGAGCAAACTCCCAGTGCAGCGCAATGGCGTTCAAAGGAGTCTCGAGCCAAAGCGGTTAGGGCAACGTACTCTGCCTCTGTCGAGGACAGAGCGACGTGCAGCGATGATCGAGGCAGGAGCATCAAGGTGGTGATCGGTATGGTTTAAACAGTGTGTATAATATCTGATAAAAAAATTTCGTTGATTTTCTTTAGTCTCTCTAACTTAAAGACTTATTAAACCTGTACTTGGATAAATCCTTGAAGAGCAAGATCTTTACGCTTCTCATGTTCGACAGCTTAGAATTCGTCTGAAACCCTCTACTGACTGAATGGAGCTTTTGCACTGCCTGATTTCGTTTCCCGTTGCACGGAGCCTAATTCTTTGCTTTGGCTTGACCTTTAAAGGAGCCAGGCATCGTTGAGCAGATTACCAGTTGCATGCGTTCCACATTTCTCCCGAAGGCTGGCGGACCCTGATCAACTTGGGCCTGCTGATGCTCAAAGCTTATGCTCGAATCCTTGGCACTGGCTGGTTGCACCCGTTCTTAGTGGGGCCAAGCATGGAGATTGCCCCTGTTGTGCTAAACCCCGACGTATCAGCGTTTCTGACAATCACAAGTAAGGTGATTGTCATTGCATTCTCCTTAGGTAATGATCTGCAAAGCGTTTCTGACAATCACAACAAGTTGGGTGATTGTCATTGCATTCTTGGCACAGGGGAGCCCTCGTGAGAAAGAAATTCGATTAC